CTCCGAGACAGGATTGTCTCGAGGCACAAGGCTGGGGAAGGTTACAGATGGAGTGGAGTAGCTTCACAACAACTCGGTGAATGTCCTTGAGTGGCCCAGCCAGAGCCCAGACCTGAATCCTATTGAACATCTCTGGAGAGATCTGAAAATGGCTGTACACCGTCGCTTCCCATCAAACCCGATAGAGCTTGAGAGGTACTGCAAAGGGGAATGGGCAAACATTCCCAAAGACAGGTGTGCCAAGCTTGTGGTTGAGAATACTGATGTACAGGTTATTTTAATAAATTTGCAGCAATTTCAAAAATTCATTTTTCACTTTGTCATTATGGGTTTATTGTGTGTAGAATTTGAGGAAAAAAATAAATGTATTCCATTTTGAAATAAAGCTGTACCATAAAGAAATGTGGAAAAAAGTGAAGCGCTAAGATGTGTGTGGCTGTGTTTGTGTTCTGTAATGTCGTGTGTGTGTGTGTGTGCGTGCGTGTGTGTGTGTTTTGAGATGCTCTTCATGTCGTGTGTCTGTGTGTGTGTGTGTGTGTGCGCGTATGTGTGTTTTGTCATGTTCTGTGTGTGTGTGTGTGTGTGTGTATGTGTGTGTGTGTGCGTGCGTTTGGCGTGTCTGTGTGTGTGTGTTTTGAGATTCCCTTTATGTTGTGTGTGTATTTTGAGATGCTTTTTATTTCGTGTGTGTGTGTGTGGCTGTGTGTGTGTGTTTGTGGGTGTGTGTGTGTACAGTTGAAATCAGAAGAGGGAAGATTTATTAACACATTTCTAAATATCATAGTTTTAATAACTCATCTCTAATAACTGATTTATTTTATCTTTGTCATGATGACAGTAAATAATATTTGACTAGATATTTTTCAGGACACTTCTATACAGCTTAAAGTGACATTTAAAGGCGAAACTAGGTTAACAAAGGGGGGCTAATAATTCTGACTTTAACTGTATATATATATAGACCTTTCTCTTGGAAAGCAAAATTACCCATTATGCTTTGCGTTTATGCGCAAGGAGAATGCTAAGAACTTCCGGTCGGCAGCTGATGCGTATAAACAGTCACATTTGGACAGCTTTGAATTTATAGTTTTAATTCATTTTACATGCTTTAATCATCTTTGAACTAATACTGTTGTTGATCGGCACCACCTCCTAGACTGGTTATTTTTTTAAAAATGTGATTTAATAGGATGGAAAACAGCTGCTGTGAGGCATTTTCCCCTCGATGTCGGACGGAATCTTCTGCAGTTTAAATGAAGCCTCGTCATCGCTAAAGTCAACATTTTCTCTTTCTTTCAAATATAAAACCAACCTAAACAAATGCAAATCACCAAAATGTTTGACACACACACATTGCCTGTACTGACACACTGATTTAAAAAATAAAAATAAAGTGACGTTTTGAAATGAAAGAAAAACACACATTGTCGTAAATTTTACACACGAAATGAAACATTAACGGCTCACGATTAGAACCAACAGCAAATCAGCCAGCAGAGGATCAGTGACTTTTTTTTTTTTGGTCATTTTTGTAAATTGCATGACTTACATACCTCTTAAGTTTCATGCCAGTACTCTGGTTTGCTCTATGATGCAGTGAAGTATTGTGTGTGTGTGTGTGTGTGTGTGTGTGTGTGTGTATGTTGAAGAGCCGCTGAGCTAACAGCTGACAGGCCAGGGAAACACATACACACACACTGTATTTCTGTCGCCAGACACAAGAACTAAGAGAACGTTTTTCTCTCGCGCTTGAACCACATTTGAGATTATAACAGCTTTAACACACACCTTTTAAAGTTGTGTGTCACCAAAACACTTCGTAATCCACTCAAAACGCTATTGAAACCCATTTTCAGAGCACAAATTACCTATTGTTAATACTGTAAACGGAAGTTCTAAACATTCTACCGGAAGGCGCTGGTCGATATGGCGCCCTCCATGCAGCAGCCAGGAATAAGGTCTATAACATATTTGTCACATAACCAGCAATCTGTTCCTTAAAGATCGCTGGCATACTACACATCATTCATGAACTACATATCCCAGCATGCCTTTGCACAAACCAGTCACCATTAATCACACACAGCTGAATATCGTCATCATCAATTGTTTGGACTATTTATACACATTGCACACACCAGTCAAGGCGGAATCTTTGTTTGTCAGTACCTGTATGGTTTCTGTGAGTGTCGTTCTGTTTAGTTTTTCTAGTTATGTTTTGATGATTGTTTCGTAACGTTTTGTACTTTGATCATCGCTTTGTTTTTGCATTTTTCGATGCCCTTCATGATACCTGAGTTCTTGTTTTTTGACCTCATTTGATTTTGCCTGCACGAATAATAGTGTTGGGCAAAGCGAGGCTTCGTGAAACACTGAAACTATCGAAGCAAACGTGTGGAAGCTTCGAAACGTTTCAAAACACCACTCCACGGTGACACCTAGTGGTCATTTTTTTTGTATTTCACTGAAACAGCTTAAGCAAAGAACAGTTGAGCAAATTGAGGTATGAAACCCCACTTTGTAGCTTTGATTCAGCAAATGGTTTAGTCGAGCGGACAATGGGTTCGAATCCAGACTGACACAGTTATTTTGAAATGCTTTAATACCAGTTGGTAATGCTTTGGTATTGTATCGTTTTGTTTCAACATTGCTCTGACATACGAATAAACACTTTGTAAATAAATTTGTATTGTTTTATTCATAAAACAGAGTTGTTGCTAGATCAGATACATTTGTGGCCAGAAGTTAACAATAATTGTTTATATTATTAATTAAATTTCCCATTGTATTTTATTAACGTCTATCCAAAACCTAAACCCATCACAGTACTGTAAAAATATGAATTATTGTTTTACGGTGTTACAAAAAGGATGCTAAATTGATGGCATATCTGCAGCTGTATCCTATCTAGGCTACACCATAAAACAGTAACATGATTAAAATTCATAAAATCATGATTTTGAAGTATTTGGACTAGTCGGGATTCGAACCCAAAATAAATTTTAAGCTCAGTATCAATGAGTACACGCACGGTCCACTAGGCCATACGAATAAAAGTCAAGAAGATGATCATGCCAGTCAAATGCAGATTCTCCGGGTCTTGAAACGCCTCTGAAATGATCAATGCTTTGAATCGATTTAGTCACGTGACCAAGTGTTTCGAAACACTTCAGTCACGTGACCTGGGTATTTCGGATCATGCTTCGGTGCAGTGTTTCGAAACACTTGCGCTTCGGGATCTCGACACTGTGTCGGAAAGTCAGTTTCACGTCAGCCATCCCTAACGAATAATCTTTTTCATTAAAAATTGCATTTGGATCCAACCTCTTGTCTTCGCTCCCTTGACATTCGGTGACACATATTACTAATTATTGGCTGGCTCAGACTGTTTCTTTAAGGGGCATTCTACCAGAAACGTACATTAACTCTCCCTGAAATAAATACATTGAATAAAAAGTATTTCATTCCAAAAAAGTGTCTAAAATGCACTGATGGTTGATTTCTGAGAGTTGTTATATAAAAGAATGTTTTTAATTTGGTTCTCAGGTTTTCGTTTTTATTGAAAATAACACTACAAATGTACAAACCCTGCCCTTGTCCTTGTCCTCAGTCCAATTGAACCTATACAGCTTGAGTAGTTTTGTAATGCTGCAAACTATTATTTAGGAAAAAATACTTCAGAAACAGCAAGTTTAGGTTGTTATCATTCACATCAATAGATCAAAAACATGAAATTATAAATAAACTCTACAAATAAATACTACAAATACATTTACAATCGTCCCTGTCTGTCAGTCTCATCTGCATTAAATTGAACCTAAAATGTGTGCAATACACAAAGCGACATTATTTGATGGAGAAGCTGACAGTGATCAAGGATGTGTTCTGTCATTGAATTGCACGATTTTATGCTTGTTTTTGTATAATTTTTTTGAGGACGACAAGCTAAAGGTCAAGAGGTCACATTTTTTATAAGTGATAATGTACGTTTCTGGTAGAATGTTCCTTAAATACTATGTGAAATCAGTATTTCGTTGTTTTTTGTGTGTGATTTACATATTTACATATAATAACATTAACGACATATAGAGTTTTGATTGCTTAAAATCAGTCATTAATAAGGATATTCATTTCAGTCAGGTGCTAATGTAAGGAGTGTTGTGTTTAATAAGTTAGAAAGTAACTAGTTATCTAACTAAATTTCTTATCTGCTGAAAAAGTCAAGTAAGGTATTGCTTTTAACTTTTAGGTAAATACGGTTATTTAATTAATTACTTATACTTGCCTCAAATACTGTAAATAAATTCAACAGTTTTGTATAAATCGATTCCGATAAGCAGTGTACTTCTATTTATCATTTGCAGAATAATCCTATTTTTCAACTTAATTGGGTTAAAATTATCAAAATGATTGGAAAGATTAAGACGTTTTTATAACATTGCATATTTTGAGATAGATATTGTTTCATTTTTCTGAAGTTTTACGTTTTAAAGTTAAGCTAAAATGCACTGTTTGACTGAGATTTAAAGAATTAACATAAAAAATGTGTTTTTACTGTCTATGCATTGAGATTTATAAGAAATTCGTAGAGCATTACGTCATGGAATTAGATTGCTTATTGAGTAATTAAATAACTTTTCAGACAAACTATTCAGATTTGTAATTGCATACTTATTTGAAGCAACTTAACCGAAACTGGATAATAGAAAGTAGCTGTTTATGTAGACCAGTGGTCACCAAACTTGTTCCTGGAGGGCCGGTGTCCGGCAGATTTTTGCTCCAACCCTAATCAAACACACCTGAACAAGCTAATCAAGGTCTAACTAGGTATACTTGAAACATCCAGGCAGGTGGGTTGAGGCAAGATGGAGCTAAACTCTGCAGGGACACCGGCCCTCCAGGACCAGGATTGGTGACCCCTGATGTAGACAGTAAGCATGAGTGTATCTGACTCATTGTTTGTTTGTTTTTTTGCCTTGTTTATTCACCCCTGTCCTTAGATCGACAGTATTCAGAGTCTGATGCAGTGTCCCAGTGTGCTGGTCTGTGTGGGTCGAGAACCATTCAGGCCGTTGCTCGTTGAAAGCTTGAAGAAACTCTCAGATGAAAAGCTTCCTGGAGTGGGCACGAGGTCACACTCCAGCGTCTGCAGTGAAGGCCATGAAAGCAAAAAGAATGGTAAATATTTTCTCTCACTGTGCGCACAGTTCAAGTTAATTACCGTTTACCTTCATTTGTTTTAGGTGAGTCATTATAGTGATTAACAACCTATCCTCCCACATGTCCCTAATAATAGACTGAAGATAAAACAAACACCAGCTTAAATGTTGTGAATGCCTAGTCTTAATGCATATGCATTATCAACCCAGCGGGCACCTTGATGACAAAATGACATCAAATAAACGCCAAAAACACGTTAAAAATGCGAATTGATTTGATGTTAAAACCTTGATGTCTATTTGACATCCACACATTGATCATACCTGTCAACATTGGGATGTGAATATAAGGGATACGCCCACCATAATAAGGGAGAATCCCCCTAAAAAATCCCCCAAATTACTAAATATGCTCATTTGGAGCCGTTTCATTGTAAATAAACAGTTAAACGGGCAGTAAAATGTTTTAATATCATTATTTACTAACGAAAAAATAAATAGTATACATTAGCAAGAAAAAAATTAGCAAACAGTTCAGCTTATAATATTATCAGCTATATTAAAGAAATAGAATCAAGTTATCACATCTCATTAATCTTTTCTTCACTGTATAACTCGCACATTCTGAATAAAGAGCAACGAATGAATCTTATTTATTTGGATTTTATGTTTGATTACATTAAATAACAGAGATGTCACTTTAAATATGCACACATCTAACGTTATAATGAAAGCATGTGCTTGCTTTCCTAACTTTTTATGCTCATTTAAGACAAAATCAGTTGTGTTTGAAAAAAAAAACCCTACCAAGATCTACATCCTTAAGGCTCCTACACACCGGGACATTTTTCGTTTGCGTTTATCGTCAGCGTTTTACGAGACATTTTTCCGTATTCAAACCCAATCGCTGTTCACTGGCGTCGAGCTGAAGAGTATGCAAAATAACTCCTTGACGTTAGATGGCGCTACACAACTTTAAGCTTCTGACACCCGCTTATAACACAGAAGAAGAGGAGGAGAGGAAGTTCACACGCTTGTTATTAAAGTTACTGGTTGACTTGGAACAAGCATAGATGGTTCAAGCAGCAGCTCCAGCTCTAGCGATGAAGAAATGATTATTGTTCACAAGAGCAATAAGCAACGTTCACATCGCCTCTGGGCATCTTCTTCAATGTGCGCTCGCATTGACAGTTTTGCGCTTGAGCGCCTCCAAGTACTGTTTACTGTAACTTCAGCAGCTCCGTGCACGTGAACAAAAGTGCCGATCTGATTGGTGGAGAAGGTTTTGACGCGGCGCATCAAAACAAAAACAAAAACCAGCATGAGGCGTTTTTTTTTTTTAAATGACGCTTTTGCGCCTGCCGTTTTGCGTGTTGGTGTGCACGATCACATTGTCACCCTTTATTTAGTCTCGAGGCGTTAAACGTCAACGGAAAACAGGAGCAAAAAACGTCTCGGTGTGCACAGGCCTTTAGATATTATTATTATTATTATTATATGTATATGTCTGTTCAAACAAGCACCCAAAACCCAGACTTTCGCTCCACTTCAAATCGCGTGTACAGAAACGGAAACATCGTCTATCTATCACTATGGAGTGCATCAGCTGACAGTCACGCACCACTGTATAACTGTTTTGAGGATTGTATAGAAGGGGTGACGGCACCTGTAATAAAAGGGAATAAGGCAATCCCACCGTTTTTATATATATTTCAATGTGTTTTCATGCCTAAACCAAACAAAAGCACAGAACAGACTCACATTTAAAAGCAAGGGGCAGCCCCTGGTGGTTTGGCGGTATGGGTTGCGTATAGGGAGGATCGGTTCTTTAAAGTTTATTGGCACCCTTCAGAGAAAGACTGAAAATACGGGAGAAATACTGGAAAACACCTTTACATGTTGATAGCGGGATAGAACTGCAAAATACGGGAGAATCCCCGGAAAAACAGGAGGGTTGACAGGTTGACAGGTATGAAATGAATGTCCTGTTGACCACCAAAATAATGAGAATAAAAAGCACTAAAATAGAAGAACGGTTTTATTCATCTAATAGCTTCAACTCTAAATTTCACGAACTATAACTAATGCAAATCCATTTATTTCAGTTGAATATTGGCATTAAAAAAACACATCAAAATCGGAATTGGGACAGTCCATTATTTTTTTGTTTTTCTGACACCAGTGTTACTAGCTGACAGCCGGCAGCTAGCTCTCTGCAACTCTCACATGGCCGCCCACTGAAGCTAAGCAGGGCTGTGCCCGGTCAGTACCTGGATGGGAGACCACATGGGAAAGTTAGGTTGCTGCTGGAAATGTGGTTAGTAAGACCAGCAGGGGGCGCTCAACCTGCCATCTGTGTGGGTCCTAACACCTCCAGTATATCGATTGGGACTTTATATTCTATAGCAGGGGTTCCCAAACTTAACAAAACCCCCAAAATAATAATTCCATTGACTCGCAACCCCCACCTTTCTGGGTGGTGGTTATAAATATACAAATGTTGCACACACAACAATATGCCTATATATATGAGCACAAGAATATAGAAAAAAAATCCTAAAATATTTTTTTAAAGTCTATAAATATATTTTTATAGTCATTTATTAATTTATTTAAATAAAATATCAACCTTCCCTGTGGGCACATTGTTTAAAGCACAAGTCTATTCTTGTATTTTTATCTTCTGTGGATTATAGATAAAATATGGTAATTTTAATAGTTTAATAAAATTTATTTGACTTTTGAATACCACCAAGCGACCCCCTGTCATTGTCCCGTGACCCCCCCCATGGGGTCCCGACCCCCATTTGGGAACCACTGCTCTATAGCACCGTCTTTCGGATGAGACGTTAAACCGAGGTTTTGACTCTCTGTGGTCGGTAAAACTCCCAGAATAACCTTCGAAAAAGAGTAGGGGTTTAACCCCAACATCCTGGCCAAATTTGCTCACTGTCCTCTGTCCATGATGACCTCCTAAACATTCTAACCATTGATGAGGAGACCCCCCCCCCAAAGATGTGTAAAGAGCTTTGAGTGTCCAATGTAAGGAATTATTATTATTACATGCTAATTTGGTGTCAATTGACATCAAAAACGAGTCAGAAATGTAAATCGATTTGATATCATGTTGACATTGAAGTGCCCCCTGGGAAGCCTGTTTCAAATTTGTAGTTTTATTTGCATGTTGAACATATGTCGTTTTATTTCTTTAACAGTCAACTTTGGGCTGGAGACCAAGAAAAGCATTATCCATCCAAGATCCGACTCCAGTAATCGATCTACAAGATTCTCTCTTTCTTCAGAAAAGTCCTACCAGAATGGATTATGCACGACACCAGGACAGTCTGGTTGCGTCAGCACCTGTCCTTATGTTAAAGAAGTCGTCATGAACGATGACATCGAGAAGAGAGTGCTTGTTAACAAAGACGGCAGCCTTTCTGTGGAGATGAAAGTTCGCTTTCGGCTTTTCAATGATGAGACCCTCCAATGGTCCACCGAGATCAAGAAATCATCAATGAAAGTGAACGAATCTGTAAAAGACACTGAATATCTTCAAGCTAAAGCCGAGTATTCAGACCCAGACTCTGTTTGTGCATCTGAGGCTGAGGAAGCTTTCGCAACGAAGAAGCATCTTGAGGAAACACTTTGTCAGAACTGTTGCAACCATTGCCAAGAATATGACATTTGGAAAAACCCAATGCATAAAGAGCAGGGTGCCAGCAAGTCCCCCAGTTCCAGTGGATCATCTCAGAAAATTACATGCAAAAAGTCATCTGTGGATAGCACACGCACAATTTCCCGCTCCAGCGGGGAGTACGTGGAGCATGTGGTTGAGAAGGCCTCATGCTTTCAGGAGACGATGGAGGAAGGGGACACTAGAGTGGAATACTGTTCAACAAGTCATTGCTGCAGCCGAAGTGAAGTATCCTCAGCTGGCGTCACGTCAAAGAGCAAGAAATCATACGAGGACGGCTGCGGGAGTCAAGCTAAAAATAAATGCTCTCATACGGACATCACAGAAGCAGAAATCTCTCCAACGCCACATTGTGAGCTAATTAAGATCACGGGAGAGCGTCCGATTTCTGCGGTCAGCAACTCCTCCAAAGTGCTTGAGTCTTTGAAGGAAGATCAGGATGATGATTATGATGACCTTCCACCGAGTGTCTCCAGAGCTTCAAACTGGTCTCAAAGTTGCCACCCGGAGAGTGATTATCAACCAAAATGTGCTCGTTGTCGTGGTCTCCAAAGTTCACCGCAATCTTATTTGTCTCCCAGACCTCCAAGTAAAGAATCGAGCACTGCAATTCATTCACTGAAGGTTAAAAAGCATAAAACTAGTTTTGCAGCTCCAGTTGATGGAGAATGCATGAGCACGACATCTCCAGTTTCAAAAGTGTCCCCTATGTGCAATGCATGTCAGTGTGGAGCCATAAGTTCGGTGGCATCTGGTCAGGAGCAGTTGTTTGAGAAAGGAGCTTGTCGTATCATTTCCAGACAAAGCCAAGCATCTTGTACGTCTAGAGGCCAAGCAAACACCCCTAGATCCAATGCATCAGATGCTCTTGAGAAATGTGATGATGCTGGAAAAACAAGTGTCACATCAGGTGTCCCAAAAAGATCTGGTCAGTCTGGTGGATGTTCATGCTGTGGTAAGAGTAAAGGATTCAATGGGAATGTAGAAGAAGATGAACCAGAGAAAGCCGATTCCATATTGTCAAAAAAATCTGTTGCATGCACTTCAAATGTGCTTGAAATCTCTGACCCTGTTAATAATGCATCAGACGGGGAAGCCACACGGGAACGCTCTCGGTCTAAAATTTCAAATGCATCTTCTACTTCAAAAATCTCAAAGAAATCCAACTGCTCTGCTCATGAAAGGTGTTCTGCTGGGAGATCATTAAAATCTGAACGTAATGAAGGAGAGAGTGTCAAAGAAAGAACCAAAAGTGCCATGTCAGCAAAGTCAGACTGCATTATTTCACAGAGAGACCCCACGCCAGCCTTGGTCCTGACAGAAACGGATAATGCTGAAGAAGAAAGCCAAGAAAGAGCTGTCAGCCCAATGTCTGCCCATTCAAATCTCTCAGCTGCATCGAAGACATCCTACAAATCAATATCTGGACATTCAGAGAAAGCTAAAACACCTAGAATGTGTAGTCCAAACGATGTAGAGGAAGTGCCATTGAAGTTGATTAATTCTCAGGGTGATGAACCAGAAAGTGCTGCAAGTCCAAATCCGACCTTGTCAGATAATCATAATGAGCAAGACACAGAGCTTCCTCATGAAGTGAGATCAGCTAGTGCCATGTCTAATAAGTCAAACCAATCTTCACAGCATCCATCAAAAGACTCAAAGAGGTCTGTCAAATCTTGTGAGTTACAAGGCAAAAGTCCCGATGTTCTGTGTGAGTTGAAAACTGAGGAAAGGCAATGCCGTCCACTGTCAAACTGCTCAAAAACATCAGTAAAGTCGAATGAATCTTCAAAACATTCCCAAGCAGAGGCTAAATCCCAGGAAAGAGTTCCCAGCGCAATGTCTGCTAAAACAAATGCTTCTAAAAGATCTTGTAGGTCCTGCAGAGCAAACCACAACATTCCAGAAACCACAGTTACCTCAGTATTAAATGATGCAACACCCGATGAATGTGCAACTCCAACAAACAAGTCAAAAAGAGCCACCAGCCCGATGTCTCAGACCTCAGAAAAGTCTAATGCTTGTTCTGAAAGATCCATCAAATCTGAGACACAGAAAACAACACTGAATGCCTTAACTGTGACCTCACCATTGCCTAGGAAAAAGCAGTCTCCTTCTCCTAGGTCAACCCACAATAGTAAAAGCAAGAAGACTGATAGCAGAGCAGCAAGTGGCATGTCAGAAAACTCGAATGTGTCCCGAAGATCTGGCAAATGTAATTGTCTTGGCTCCTCAAATGGTGATTTGAAAGAGAAATTAAAGGAAGATGCCAAAGATGTATCTGGTTTTCCTGACAAGATCCCTTCGGATTCAACTCTTATAAATAATATTAAATCCTCAGATAATCAGTTTGATGAGCCTGTAAGCCCTACATCCACAGCTTCGGTCTCTCTTGGGTTAGGAGAGGATCAGAAAGGTGATGACTTTGATGACCTATCAACAAGTGGCATGTCAGAGGATGGTGGGAATAGGTTGCATGAAGTAAATGGAGTCGATGCAGAGGAAAGGCCTAAGACAGAAGCGTCTGTGAACTCCCATCATAAGTCTCCCGTTCAAGCCCTCTTGCCTGTCTCAGCTGAAAGCGTCATGTCAGCAGAATTGAAGAAGAGCAAGTCGGGGAGCCAGTTAAATGAAAACAATATCAGAGTGCCCTCCACTTTGTCACTGTCATCTTCACGAAGTAAGTCACCCTCGAGACTTTCTCCAGGAAGTGCTAAAAATACAGCTATGAAAGAGAGAGACTGCAAAGCTGTCAACAACACCAACCATGCAGAAAGGAGTGAAGCGTCTTCAAAACATGAGCAAAGCGAAAGAGCTGCTGGAAAAGTCACACCAGCAAGTGAGTTTTTAGACTCTTCAAAAGCCTCTGAATGTTCAGTGAAGTCCAAAAATGGGCAAAGTATTAGAGAGACTGATAAAAGATCCAAACATTCTTCCCATTGTTTGGAAATGAACGGACTAGATATCAATTCTAACAGAGACCTTGATGATGGTATGGTTAAATCTCTTAAAGCATCCACATCAGACAAAAGATCTGTGAAAAATGATGCATCCAGGCCAAATTCAGCAGGGAAGTCTGACATTTCCCAAAGTCTACCACTGGAGATGCCAAACAAGAAAAAAGCATCAGTCAAGCATCCTGATTCCTCAAGCGAAAGTGTTTTATCTCGAGCACTCTCAGCTGCAGATCTGTTGAGAGAGATCGTTGGCAGTGCGAGACCAGTCAGTAGAGGATCAAAGTCTGTTGCCTCCAGCAAAAATGTCGACAAGGTTGAAAATAAAAGCCAAAAAAGCAGCAGAAGCAAACCCAGCCACTCTTCAGAGCACAACACTAAGGAATTGATGCCATCATGTTTGCCAAATGCTTCCCCTACAGAAGTCGTGAACGACTGGCTTAGAAACATTCCCATTGGTGGCTATGTTTATGAAATGGACGTTGAACATACTGAACGTGAAGCTGGTGAGAACGCCTCCCAAAGGGACAAAAGTGAGGCACCAGAAAGCATAATGGAGGTTGAGGAACCTAATGAGAATCCCACAGGAGAGAATCATGTTCAGCAGGAGACCAATGATGTTGAGATACAAGCATGCGATGAAAAAGCACAACTGGAAATGTGTGAAATGGATCACAATCCTAAAACATTAGCCAACCAAGACAGTTTACAAAAGCAGTGTGATTCTTCAGTTCAGGTCATGAAGGTTTTACTCGGTCCAAAACTAGACCGATCCAGTAGTTTACCTGAAGTTTCCCCAGTGTATGGCAGAAAATTAAGCCAGTCTGCTCAAGGGCTTTTGGACTGCCTAGCAAACTTAAGATTGATTGATTCAGACTCTAAAGATGAAAAGCATCGTAAATACAATGAAGTTATGATGATCCTACAGTCGCTCTGGCTCCAAAAGCCCATCGAGGATGAACATATAAAACAAAATGCAAAGGTAAACCAATCTGAGGATGAGTTTAACCTGCGGTATTCATCAGGCGTTGATGTAAATAGTGGTTCCACCAGCTCATTTAAAGGTGAAAAAATAGAGACCTCACAGGGCACAATACCACCAATTGAAAAGCAAGAGATTTCAAGGAATGATAAAGATGATGAAGAAGATGAGGTTAAGTTTACAGAATGTTTAGATTCATCCAAAATCATCCCAGATCCGGTAACTCCAGACATCGCAGAACGAACACAGGGAAGTCCAGTAAACACACGACAGGATGATGACCAGGAAAATGATGTAACTCAAGAAGATGTTTCAAGTTCCGAGAATAAGAATGAATCCGATCAAACGCCACAAACGACTTCTTACAAGAGCTCTGGGAATGAGAGTTACACGATGAAATCTCCAGAAAACACAAGCTCAGGAACTCCGCCGTCTGTTCAGAAAGCTACGCTCACTAAAAGAGTTTCACAAGACCCAGATCCTGTTTGGGTCCTGAGCTTGTTAAAAAAGCTAGAAAAGCAGTTCATGCTGCATTACACCGACGCCATGGCGGAGTTTAAAGTGAGGTGGGATTTAGATGACAATGAGATGCTTAATACAATGATAAGCGAACTGAAAGAGGAAGTACACAAACGTATTCAATCAAGTATTAACCGAGAGCTGCAAAAAATCCAAAGCCGCACTGGCAGAGGTCCGAGACCTCCAGGAAATGCACTTTCGAGAGAGTCTACTGCTCAAACCGAGCAACGACGCAAGCGTCTTCGGGTCATGCGCAATAAGTCCATCTTGACAAGGAGTGATGAAGATTACACTGCATCAGGAACTGAAAACAGCGATCAGCGCAGTGATGATGAATACTGCCCATGCGATGCATGCATAAAAAAGAAATTGGCATCCAGAGCAGCCCAGCGAGCTCAAGCTTTGAGTTTTGCTCCAGTTATAATGGAGTTTGATCTGCGGAAAATTTTGCAAATGAAAAAGGACCCTGTCGAACCCTCGCAATCAAAGCCTGAAGAACAATGCACGGCTTGCCAAGTTGAAAATAACTTGGAAGTTGTTCATGAAGAGGTAGAGGAGGTCAATGATGATACTAGAGGACGTGATGTTAAAATGGCAGATCAAGAAGAGACAGATGATGCTGACAATGCAATCGACGCAACTTTAGACTCTGAGAAAAAAGATCAGAACGACGAGGAAGCAAATGATAAGTCTGACGATGTAGATGATGGTCAAAATGAGAAAGAAGCTGAGCCCGCAAAAGAAGAAATGGGTGTGAATGATACGGGAGATGACGAAAATGAGGAAGAAGGCAACTTAGTTGAAGAAGACATGGAAAAAGAAGCATGTACAGAACATGCACCAAATATTGAAAATAGTGATTCGACTGCACAGAAAATGACAGAAAGTGCTGAGGAAACCGAAGCAGTTGACAAACAGACTACAGAAGACCAATCTACAGAAGAAGTAGAAGAGTCAAATAAAGATGATACACCTGAAACCACTAAAGGTGAAACACCAACCATTGAGAAGAACGCAGATGGGACGTCAGACACAGGACAAGATGATGAAACCGGCAAGATGCCAAAGGTAAAGATCGAGATGGAGGTCAGAGAAAGTGTAGAACATGAAGACAAATCTAGCTCCGTTGAGGAACAGAATGAAACCGATGACGCACTAGCAAAACAGGCGACGAAAACGTCAACAGAATCTCAACAAGGATCTATGGAGAACTGCACAGCGCAAGCTAAACTGAAAGATCTTCAGAGTTTCATGGAAAGTCTTGAAAGTCATGGAGACAGTGTGGTGATTACTAAACAACCACCATACAAAGAGCCACACGAAGCAGCAAACCAAAAGGACATGTGCAACGGCTTGACTGAGTGGCAAGTGTCTCCTAAAATGAACATCCGGGCCAATAAACAAAAGAATCAGAAGAATGGACACTAACGTTACGGAAGAGTTTTAATATTTTTCGCATAAAGCACTTTATTTTGATGGCTGAGTTCAGACATTTAAAGAACTAAGAGAAACTTTTAAGAGATTTCAAAACTGTATATTTTACAATTCTGTAGTCGAGTTATTGCTTTAACTGAGGTTAAAAAGACTTTTATGAATTCATGTACACAGGAAGAAAAAAAAGCATACATTCCAGGTCTCAGAGTCACAAAATTATAAACGTTTTACAGATAAACACCAAAACTCAGGGTGCTGAACATTGTTATTATTTAAATGCATTGTGATTATAATAACCTCGAACAAGGTTAGCATTGCATTACATTGAGCTGAAATGCTAAATGACACGATTATAACTCAGAATGTGTATTTGCAGTTGTGTTAGATTATGGGGTGTTATTCCAATTTATATAAGTCATTCAGTGCTGACTGTATATTTGAAAGCTTTCTAAAGGCACTTAAAGCATCTTTGACCAAGGTTGGTTGTATGTTGCTATTGTATCGTAATATTAATAAATGCTCATCTCTGAGAATCTCACTTTTTTGGTTTGATGTTGACAGAATTAGCTTGTTTATATTGTTAAATAACAGCTAAATAGTTATATTTATCTTGTTTTTATTCCCAATGTTGGGTCAAATATGGACCAATTAAAATTAAATGACACTTTTTAAGCCAATGGATAGGTTTGACCTTTACCAGGGACCACCAAACTTGTTTCTGGAGTGCCGGTGTCCTGCAGATTTTAGCTCCAACCCTAATCAAACACACCTAAACAAGTTAATCAAGGTCTTAAGCTGCGGTCACATTCTGTCGTGTGGTGTTGCGAAAAGGGGCGGGATTAAACAAGCTGATTAGACATTTAAAAAAGTGAGCCATTGCTCCATGTTTTGAATTTCTGTCAAGAGAGGTCATGTTTTGACCCTCGATTGGTCTCATGCAGTAAAGTGATGCGATTTCGCAGGTCAGAGATCCCCAAGCTTTAACTTTGCACCGCAGCAACCTGCGAAACTTGACCTTGTGTTTCCGTTCTGACGCATTCGCATGCAAATGAATGGAAGTCTATGGGAGGAAAGCCCAGTGTGACCACAGCTTTAGATATACTTGAAACCATCAGGAGGGTGTGTTGAGGCAATTTGGAGCTAAAAGAACGAGACTGGTGACCACTGACCTATACCTTCCAACATTTGTCTTTGACATTTGTTCAAATCCTGAATCTTAAAACCTGTGTAGACATCAACAGCACAACTGGGTTGTAACCTATGTTGCCAGAGGCAAAAATGCTTTGACATTTGAATATTTCGTCAATTGTTTGAGGTGCTGAGCTTCATACAAGATCTGGCAACTTAACAAACATGGGGAAAAGTGGTTTTTCATAACTACACTGAAACAATGATTCAAAGACAATTCCTTGGATTTACAATTAATTTTTTTTATTAATTGGCTGTAAACAATTTATTTGGGCTGAATTTAACCAAACAAATTAGATTGAACATTACTGCATTTAATTAGCTTGTTTATATATATATATATATATATATATATATATATATACATTTACATATATATCTATATCTATATCTATATATATATATATATATATATATATATATATATATATATATATATATATATATATATATATATATACAGTTGACGTCAGAATTATTAACCCCCTTGGATTTTTTTTTCTTTTTTTAATATTTCCCAAATTATATTTAACAGAGCAAGGACATTTTCACAGTATGTCTGATAATATTTTTACTTCTAGAGAAAGTCTTAATTATTTTATTTCGGGAAGAATAAAAGCAGTTTTAAATTTTTTAAACACCATTTTAAGGACAAAATTATTAGCGCCTTTATGCTATATTTATAACTTGCCTAGTTACCCTAATTAACCTAAGCCTTTAAATGTCCCTTTAAGCAAAGATAAAAGAAATCAGTTATTAGAAATGAGTGATTTAAACTATATTATGTTTAGAAATGTGTTGAAAAAAAATCTTCTCTCCATTAAACAGAAATTGGGGAAAAAATAAACAGGGGACCTAATAGTTCAGGGGGCTATTAATTCTGAATTCAAATATATATATATATATATATATATATATATATATATATATATATATATATATATATATATATATATATATATATATATATATATATATATATATTGATACAGACACTCTTTAGCACAAATAATATCAGCAGAGTGTGAGTCCAGCAGCTTGAACAGATCTTGCGTCATTCTAATCCCATTGCTTGTCCATTAGGAGTATCTTAAGCTGGGTTAGAGGATTGAGGTTGACTTGCATCAGTCATTAATCTAGTCCAGCTATTAGTCAGTGGTGTTTAAATGCAATTCAACACAGATTGTTACACAAGCTTAAAATTTATACAGCATGTTTACAGTTTAGAAGACCATCTACTTTTAATAAAATGCTGTTTAACTGTTTAATTCCAATTGCAACACCCACTTGTGTTGTGTTTCAGACCAGGAAAGGGTTCCCTGTATTAGAAATCTTATAGAATATATGCAAGGGACCTATATGACATACAAGTGCATATTTACATTTTGCAGATATATAAAATGTGTATATATGTATATCTACTGTATTTAATCAGGGCACATACACATTTTTAATACTAAAATTCCAAGACTTTTCCAGAACTTTTAAGTACATTTTATGACACAATGTTTCATAATGTCTACATATACAGTTGAAGTCAGAATTATTAGCCCCCCCTTTGAATTTTTAAAAAATTTGTTTTAAATATTCCCCAAATGATATTTAACAGAGCAAGGAAATTTTCACAGTTTGTCTAATAATATTTTTTCTTCTGGAGAAAGTCTTATTTGTTTTATTTCGGCTAGAATAAAAGCAGTTTTTAATTTTTTAAACACCATTTTAAGGACAAAATTATTAGCCTCTTTAAGCTAATTTTTTTTCGATAGTCTACAGAACAAACCATCGTTATACAATAACTTACCTAATTACCCTAACCTGCCTAGTTAACCTAATTACCCTAGTTAAGCCTTTAAATGTCACTTTAAGCTGTGTAGAAGTGTCTTCAAAATATCTAGTCAAATATTATTTGCTGTCATCATGACAAAGATAAAATAAATCAGTTATTAGAGATGAGTTATTAAAACTATGTTATGTTTAGAAATGTGTTGACGAAATCTTCTCTACTCTTCTCTAAAATAAACAGGGGCTCTAATAATTCAGGGGGGCTAGTCATTTTGACTTCAACTTTACATGGTAAATAATAAGAAAAACAATGATTATTATTTTTTTAAATGAACACAAAAAGAATACAATTTAATAACTCCTATAATATTGATACAAGTGAAGTGTGAGTAGATAGTGAGTAGATTTTAATCTTAAAGTTAACTGTTCCTATAAGGCCTGTGACTGTGTGAACATTTCAATAATTAAACATTTTAAAACATTCGCACACAAGTTTTTTTTTTATAGAAAAAAATAATAATAATATACAATAAAGACTATGCAGTGTTGATTATTCAATATCTGTATCAGAATAATAAATACCTGAAAACTATAAATCACTTTTATCTTTACTATATTTTATTTATGCTTGTCATTTGTTTGGTAAATACAATTCGAGATTTACTCCCCTACAAAATCCCCCTAATCAATCCAAATAAAGCTGTTAAATCATCTGCTGAAATTGTATTCACATTGCAATATATATCCTCCTGAGACCCAAATACATTTTTTTCCAGTTTTTTTTTCTTCTGTGATTTCCTACATCCTTTGGGTTAAACAAAATCAACAATTTAAAGTTTCTACATTTTGTTATTATTTTTAATTTTACAGCATGTCCACTGTAGTGGACCACAGGACCATTTTAGTTCCAAACGACCGCCAAACTCAAAAAACAAAACTGTACAGGAGATGGCTGTAGGGATATTAATCCAATATTAATGTAACAAAAACAAAATTCCTTTTGTATTAAAATTCCTGAAACAGTTTAGTCTGCAAGACTAAGAGGCTTACTAAAAAAATAAAATAAAAATAAGTGATGTTAATGATGTTAGTCAAATTTAACACAAAAGCGATTTAAAACTGATTGCCATTGTCTGATTGTCAGACTCTAAATCAGAGTCTCCCTCAACTATCTTATAAAGAATCCTCTCTGCTTCAGTTCTGCCCCCTACAACATGCAGTCATTAATTACATTAAGATGGATCTGGTGTGCACTATAGTGGACATTTAAAAAAAAGGATATTTAAAACACAAACAAGTTAACCGCTTTGAAAGCTAAATGTATTGTTCCTGACACTTTCATAAACAAATATACATGTAATAATAATAGTAAAAAAACATTTAAAAAGCAAAATTTTACATACCTCTCTCCTTCCTATAAAATGTGCTTGTTTGTATGCCAGCCATTTTGGATGCAGTGTAAGAAGGGGTTCCTAGCATGCCAGCCAATCAAATGACAAAGCCCAGGATGTCCTCTGAACAGTACAACAGGACTTGACAGGGTAGCTCAAAAAATTAAAAGAAAATTCATGAAAACGCAATGTCCACATCGTAATGTCAGATTTTTCCTATATCATGCAGTCCTAATTCAAATATACGGATATTTGTTAAAATAATTTTCATGACTTTTCCAAAACTTTGTGGGGTTTTCTGTTTTTCCAAAACTTTTCCAGACCTGGAAAATGCCATGTCAAAATTTCCATGACTTTTCCAAGTTTTCCATGACCGTATGAACCCTTTATAATGCATTTAAACCATTGGAATTATAAATATAGTGGTGTGAAAAGTGTTAGTGTTTCATCTTTTTCTGTTTCTGATTATCAAAAAAATTAAAATATGAGTTCAAAATAATAATAATAATAAAAATCCAAAATCCAAACATGGGTTCTGCAGCAGGACAAGATTTAAAGCACACCCGCAAGTCCACTTCTGAATGGCTCAAGAAAAACTGGAGTGACCTAGTCAAAGCCCTGACCTGCATCCAATTGAGATGCCCTGACATGACCCTAAAAAGGCGGTTCATGCTGGAAAACCATTCAATGCGACTGAATTACAACAATTCTGGGAGGCCTAAACGGTTATTAGGTTTAGGGGCTAACACTTTACACATCAGGACTATGTAGTTTTGTATTTTGTACATTTCAAACTGCATGATGTTTACTTGTGTTAAGCCTAGAGGTTAGTGCGTTGACACATGGTGCAGTAGCACGTCAGGGCGTTCCGAGTTTGAATCCCGGCTCGAGGACATTTCCCAACCCTACCCCCCTCTCGCTCTCCCACTTCACTTTCTGTCCTATCTAATAACGGCAAAAAGGCCAAAAATTAAATATTTTAAAATAAGAGAAAAACATCCAAAACAATTAATAAGGGGCCAAACACTTTTTCATAACATTATGTACGCATGTTTAAATATATTAGTTTTAATTTTATATATGTGTTCGTATATTTTATATATGTACAATCCAAATATGTGAACTTGAATGTCATGCATGTAATTTGCATTTATTTCCATGTGTCATATTTAATATGGGCTATCATAATTCTGTCATCATTCACTAATCAAAAACCTGTTTGAGTTTCTTCTGTTGAACACAAAAGAAAATATTTAGAAAATGTTGGAAACCAGTAACCATTGACTTCCACAGTATTTGTTTTTACTACTAAATGCCAGTGGTTACCGTTTTTATAACAGTACTCAAAATATCTTCTTTTGTGTTCAGCAGAAAAATAAAACAAACAGGTTTGAACCCAACTTGAAAGTCTGTATATGTGATTAAATGTTATCTTTTGGGGTGAACTATCCCTTTAAATACACTTAATCAGACTAATATCAACTGAAATGTTTATATTATAGCCAAAGGTGGAAAAGGTCTCGATTAAGTGCCTGTAGACGCATTTTTAACATCTGTCAAAGTATTTAGAGCTGCCAAAATATTTAAGTAATGTAAATGTAATTTGCATTGTTGCTAGAAGGAAGAAGGAAAACTGCCTTAAAAAGTGCACTTACAGTAACCGCAACAGTCCAGACATTATTACATTACTGTTGTTTATCAGGTCACAGAAAACACACACTCCTACTGTACAATAATCAACATAAAGGTTTACACAATGAACATTCATTTGCCAAGGCTGAATGTTTACATGCCACTTTGTGTACATTCGAATCAGAAAAGCTATCCTTTTCATTATTATTATTTTAATCAGCAGCATACGTAACAAAAAGATCAGTCAGTAATGGAATATTTCCTGGGAATATGGAAACTAAGAAACTTCATAATCACCTTTAAGTAATACTAATTAATTAACAATACTAGTCATTCACAAACATGTTTTTGGGGGTATATGCACTATAACACTCTGTTTGTATATGGATGAATCTCATGGAATGGGTCGATTTCAGTTTACTTTGTCCTACTTTGTCCATAAAGTTGAAGATAGAATTATTATTTCTCCTAATGAAATTTGTATACTTTTTCAAATATTTCTGAAGTTCTGTTTAACAGAGAGATTTAAAAAAAGCTTTAATAACTAATTTCTAATAACTAATTTCTTTTGGTCTTTGTCAAACAGTACATACGTTTTTACTAGTTGCTTTTTTATACTATTAAGCTTAAGCTGCAATTTAAGGGCCTAACTAGTTTAATTGGGTTAATTAGGCAATTTATTGGACGATAGTGATTTGTTCTGTAGCCATCAAAAAATACTATTAATAATAATATTGAGCCAAACATAATAATAAGCCAAACTATTTCCTTACTCTGTTAAACATCACTTGGTAAATACACTTTAATAGGTATACCTTACTAGTTCCGGGCTGGACCCTTAATCCTTCGTGGCATAGATCAAACAAGGTACTGAAAAGATTTCTCAGAGATTTTGCTCCATATTGACATGATAGCATCACACAGTTGCTGCAGATTTGTTGGCTGCACATCCATAATGTGAATCTCCCGTTGCACCACATCCCAAAGGTGCTCTATTGGATTGAGTTCTGGTGACTGTGGAGGCCATTTGAGTACAGTGAACTCATTGTCATGTTCAAGAAACCAGTCGGAGATTATTTACGCTTTAATATGTGATATCCTGCTGGAAGAAGCCATCGAAAGATGAGTACACTGTGGTCATAAAGAAATAGACATGGTCAGCAGCAATACTCAGGTAGGCTGTGGCGTTGACTCAATTGGTACTAAAGGGCCCAAAGTGTGCCAAGAAAAAATACCCCACACTATTACACCACCACCACCAGCCTGAGCTGTTGATACAAGGCAGGATGCATCCATGCTTTCCTGTTGTTGATGCCAGGCTGACCCGACCATCCGAATGTCACAGCAGAAATCAAGACTCATCAGACCAGGCGACGTTTCTCCAATCTTCTATTGTCTAATTTTTATGAGTCTGTGTAAATTGTAGCCTCAGTTTCCTGTTTTTAGCTGACAGGAGTGGCACCCGGTGTAGTCTTCTGCTGCTGTAGCCCATCCTCCTTAAGGTTGGACGTGTTGTGTGTTCAGAGATGCTCTTCTGCAGACCTCGGTTGTAGCGAGTGCTTAATTGAGTTACTGTTGCTCTTCTATTGAACCAGTCTGACCATTCTCCTCTGACCGCATCAACAAGGTATTTGCGCCCACAGAACTGCAGCTCACTGGATATTTTAAGATTTTCAGCCGTTCTCTGTAAACTCTAGAGATGGTTGTGCGTGAAAATCCCAGGAGATCTGCAGTTTCTGAAATACTCAGATCAGCCCATCGAGCACCAACAACCATGCCACATTCAAAGTCACTTAAATCCCCTTTCTTCCCCATTCTGATGCTCAGTTTGACCTGCAGCTGATCGTCTTGACCATGTCTACATGCCTGAATGCATTGAGTAGCTGCCATGTGATTGGCAGATTAGCAATTTGCGTTATCGAGCAGTTGCACAGTGAGTGTATTTAACAAAGAATTTCATTGGAGGGTGAATAATTTAAAGTAAAGTATTTTTCCATGAGATTTACCCATCCACACTGAAAAAAAATCATTAGATTTAATTAATTTTTTAAAGGCAAGTGGTTGCAAACAATTTATATGGGCTGAATTCAAACAAACAAATCAAATTGAACATCACTTATTTTAATTAGTTTGATTAAATTGAGTCCATATAAATTGTTTGCAACCACTTACCCTACAAAAACTTTGTAAATCCAATGAATCATTTGCTTCAGTGTACTTTTTAATGCATTTTTTCCAGTATATTTTGTGTTGCAGCTACCTCTGTAATTTATGCCGCAATTTATATGTGTTAGTTACATGTAGGCTATGCCTACTCCAGTCTACTCCAGTTCAGAAACAGGCTCATGGATGAGAGCCATCAGCATCTCCCGCAGCTCAGTAAATGTGGGTCTCTCCTTAGGGTTTGCCTTCCAGCACAGGAGCATAATGCCGTAAAGCGATTCAGGACAGCCGGCCGGTCGGGGCATCCGCTCTCCTCGCTGAATCCCTCGAACACACGACATTTTGTCTTGACCTGAGATTGTGGAATCAACAAACACAACCCCAAATCAGAAAAAAAAATGTGAGAGTATGGAAAACGCAAATAAAAAAAAGAAAGTAGTCATTTCTGAATTTACTTTGACTTGTATTTTAATGCAGACAATATAACAAACATTATTTAATGTGTTCCTCATGATTTTATTATTATTATTTTTTTCAAAAACTGTCACAGCAGCAAGAATCGTCATTCATCTGTAAGCGATATCCCCACATGGGCTCAGGACTACTTTGGCAAACCTTTGTCAAGTACCACAATACAGTTTCAGTTTCCTTCATTTTTGTCATTTAAAACATCACAATAAAACTGTAATGCAGAACGAAATTACGTTGCAACAGACCCAACAAGAACATAAAAGAAATCACTATAAAAACACTATAAAATCCTAACATCATAAGTGAAGTTTACTCATAGGCTGTTTCTCAATTCCAAGAACGCAGAGAATAGACTTGTGTTCTTGTGGAGAGCGGTCTTGCCAGGTGTCCTCGGAAGAACGAACTCAGGAGACCGCGAGGGCAGAGAACACGTCCTTTGAGAATTCAGATGCTGCGTTCTTCCTTCCTGATGGTCACATGACCTTCACGCGTTTTAAATGGTAAATTATTTAAACATTACAGCCTTCATACAACGATTTATTGTTTCCCCCTTCTTCAAAATATATACTTTGCATAAAAACATTATAAATATACTCTGCACAATATAAATTAAACACATTTTAATACGAATTTCAGCAAACAAACACTCTTAATGTGTTTATTCCTTTATTAAGATGTTCATGGTAATCTTTACTTTCACCGTTTCCTTTAGGGAAACTTCTGAGGTAAATAAATGATATCTCTGAACTTTAATAATAAATCTAGATAAATGCAGCGCTTCCCACCTCCAGTCGCAATGACTTCTGGGACTTCCAGAGCGAGTTCAGTGCTCAAGTCTGCATCGGTGCGTCCTCGATATCAAGAACACATCCGGGAAGTTTCACGCGTCCTCCGTACTTGCGGTCTTGAGTATTGGAACTGAACTTAGGCAGCTGATGATGACGTTTCACGAGAACACGAGGACGCAAGACCGCTGAAGAACGCATATTGAGAAACAGCCATAAACTAATTTCGAGAGGAGCACGTGATTATGACTGAACACGGCTGGTTCTGCATTAGCATGCATGATCCACCAATCAGGCCTTTCCTAACCCACTATAAAGAGCCAGGGTTTTTTCACTACAGTCATCTTCGATTTGAAGAATCCCCCCTTCCACCCCTACCTCTTCACCTTTCCCTCCATAGGGCAGCAGGGTGGCCCAGTGATTAGCACTGTTGCCACACAGCAAGAACGTCACTGGTTCTAGTCCTTCAACAGGCCGGTGGTCGTTTCTGTGCGTAGTTTGCATGTTCTTCCCATGATCACGTGGGTTTTCCCCGGGTCCTCCGGTTTCCTCCAACATTCCAAAAACATGCACAACAAGTGAATTGATCAATCTAAAATTTGCACTACAGTTAATCTCTCACCCTGCAGCATATCTTTTCATAGCATTCAATTTAGTCATCCGTTTTTATCAAAGGGGAGTTGTCGAGATCTACCCGAGCTAAAAGGCTCGCCTCTCGCCCTGCATACGAGAGGGGTCTGGCTGCAGACCTGGTGCAGTGCAATCTGGGCTGCATCCAATGCTTTTTAATGGGCTCACCTAACCCTACTCGTCACAGTGACGTCACTAGCTCCATTTGAGTGCATTGTGTCTGACATTACATCTCTGGGTGATGCAGTCTCAGCTTGCATCATAAAGGCTGCATCCAGATACTATTGCTGCAAACGGGAGGGAGCCCAGAGCTCAAGGTCCTTTTGAGCTCAGGGCTCTCTCCCGGGACAGCATGCCAAACTTGCTTATAATCAATCATCAGCTAGGTGTGAACTCTTGAAACAAGCTTTTATAATTTCATAAAAATATAAAAGTATAGTTATATAAGTTAAACCTATTTAAAAACAAAAATCTCTAAAGAGAATAACTTAATACTTAAATACCTATTTCACCATGGGTTATAATAGTTGTAATAATAACAATGTATGCTATTTATTGATTTACTATCACACTAGCTATCAATAATGTTTAAGAAATTTTATTATTCAAAAGTCTTATAATGACAGGATAAAAACTATCACGGAACTATGTGATAATTAAGGGTGTCACGATCCTCCAAATCCTCGATTCGATTACATTTTCGATTCTAAAGGCACGATTCGATTCGATTTTCGATTATGAATAATGAATTAATTAATGACCAATTAATTATTTGTAGCCTACCGTTTAAACTACCTGACCTGCATGGTCTTTGTTTTACCCATAAACAAATCATACAGTAAATGAATAAAGGTAAGTTACACACATAATTACCACCTGTCAATCACTTTTTTTTTGGGACTCATGAATAGGCAGTGATCTGTGTCATTATAATGGCGTCGGTAAAAAAAGATGCACAAGCAACAGGAACCAGCCAACAGTATCTGAGGTGTTCGCTAAAATGACTAAGTACAAGTGAGTGAAAGATTGAAGCAGTCCTCTGACTGCCTGCACCTGCTGTCTCGAGCGCATGGCTGTGTGTGCGTCTGTGTCTGTGTGGTCACGTGATGTGCATTTTCAGAGGTAGAGAGGAAGGAGGGCTGCTCAGAAATGCTACACACCACTGTGGATGTCAAATCGTTGTCGTTCTAAAATGCCATTTAAAAACAAAGGCAGTGTAAACAGGGCCTGAGTGTGTACTTTTCGCGAGCGGATTTGCAACGGGGGAGGGTCGCGATGCTGGTGTTGTCTATCGGACGAACCTTACGTAATGCGTACATAGCAGAGCTTGCAAAACTTTTTTTTTTTTTTATGTCCACAACACGAACGTTGTCAACATAACTCACTGGAAATCCAAAATGCTCACACACCGGCGACTTCATTGAAAGAGGAGAGGGTTTAAGCTCTGTCGACGGGTCTCTTGCTTCTGCAGTTTAACAAGCACTTCAACAAGCCTGTTTTTTTCCCGCTTGGCAAGCCAAGCTGACGTGACATGGGGGCATGGCAGCATCGACGATTCTATTTTTTGATTCGATAATCGAAATTGAGCATAAATTTCGATCGATTTCGATTAAAAATCGAAATCGTGACACCCCTAGTGATAATACGTAGTTGCATCCACAAATGCCGGTTAAAACTCTACTGTGCCAAAAGGAAGCCCTATGTTAACAGTGTCCAGAATATCTCAGGGCTCAGAGGCATCTGGGATGGACCATCACACAGTGGAAACATGTACTGTGATCAGATGAATCAGTATTTCAGGTGTTTTGGATGATGTGTTCTCCCGACCAAAGAAGAAAAAACTGTTACCAGTAACAAGTTTGAAATCCAGGGTCTGTCATGGTATGGGGTTGTGTTAGTGCCCTTGGCAAAGCTAACTTGCACTTCTGTGGTGCACCATTAATGCTGAAAAGTACTCAGAGATTTTGGAGCACAATATGTTGCATTCTTCTCCAGGGAAGCCCATGCATATTTCAACAAGACGATGCTAAATCACATTCTGCACACATTACAAAGTCCTGGATGTGGAGAATGAGGATACTTGATTGGCCTGTCTGCAGTCCCGACCTATCTTTAATAGGGAATGTGTGGCACGTTTTGAAGTGCAAAATGCGACCGAAGACCCACCTGAATGTTGCCCACCTTAAGACTTGTTTGCAGGAAGAATGGGACAAAATTACACTTCATCACTTGGTGTCTTCAGTTCCTAAATGTGTTTTATTTGTTGTGAAAAGGTATGGCAACATTACAAAGTGGTAAATGCTTTACTGTCCTAACGTTTTTTTTTTTTAAATGTGTTGCAAGAACCAAAATTGGAATATGTGTTTATTTTAAACTTTTAAATTCAATTCAATTCAATTCAGCTTTATTTGTATAGCGCTTTTACAATGTCGATTGTGTCAAAGCAGCTTCACATAAATGGTCATAGTAACTGGATCGAACAAACAATAAAATCATGAGGAACACATTAAATAATGTTTGTTGTATCATCTACAATGACATACAAGTCAAAACAAATTTAGAAATCATTACTTTCTTTTTTTATTGGTGTTTTCCATACTCTCCCAACTATTTCTGATTTGAGGTTGTACAACAGAGTTGGCAGAGATGCAACACTATAAACCAAAAATATTATCTGAATTTTTTAGAAAGTTCTAACATTTTCCCAATAATGTTTATTAAATGTTTGGTGTAAAGTAAAAGTTCCTTTAAAGTCAAAGTTCAATCATTCATTTACTCATCCCCCACTTGTTCGAGTTTCTTTCTTCTGATGAACATAAAGGAAGATATTTTGAAGAATGTTGGAAAAAAGCAGCCATTGACTTCCATATGAGTTTTTTTGTCTGTTTGTATTTCATTTGTAGTTTTTTTAGCAGTCTTCACAATATCTTGTTTAGTGTTCAACGAAAGAAAGAAGAACCACTTTATTGTGAGTAAATGATGATACTTTATTTGGGTTGACTATCACTTTAAAGCAGTGGTCACCAAACTTGTTCCTGGAGGGCCGGTGTCCTGCAGATTTTAGCTCCAATCCTAATCAAACACACCTGAACAAGCTAATCAAGCTCTTACTAGGTATACTTAAAACATCAAGGCAGGTGTGTTGAGGCAAGTTGGAGCTAAACCCTGCAGGGACACTGGCCCTCCAGGACCAGGATTGGTGACCCCTGCTTTAAAGGGATAGTTCAACCAAAAATACTAATTCTGTCTCATTTTTTTACCCTCAAGTGATTGGCTGTAAACCTTCATACATGTTTTTTCTTCAATTGAACACAAAAGAAAGATATTTTGATGAAAGCTGGGAACTTGTAACCATTGATTTGCATAGTAGGAAAAACAAATACTATGGAAGTCAATGGTTACCCTTAAGATTTGTAGCATTCTTCAAAATATCTTCAATTGTGTTCAACAGGAGAAAGAAACTCATAAAGGTTTGAAACAAGTGAGTTGATGGTGACAGTATTTTGGGGTGAACGATTACATTAAGGATTTTCTCCGGTAGGTGTTTCGAAATAATTAGTGAACATTAAAATGTGTGATAACGTGGAGAGTCACTTAATACTTTCTCAAATAAAACCCGGACCACAAAAGTTTTCATTTTTTTACAGGGTTTCTGCAGGTTTCACATGTTAAAATTTAAGACTTTAAGACATTTTTAAGACCATTATGAATGACTTTTTACACCCATAAAGGGCCAAAGGCTAAGAAACTTTTCAAATGGCCCAGATGGAAAAGATTTGTATTAGCCCTTTTTAAAAAATAAGAATTTAATTCATTTAATAATACAATAATAATAAAAATATATAAAAATATTTTAGATTTTATTTCTTAGATAAATATTTTAAATATTGTGTAAAAACAAGCAGCTCTGCCTGAATCTATACACATTTTTTTCCAACATAAACTTTCTTTAAAATTATTAAAAAATGAACAAATGTTTTTTTTAAAAGTTTTAAAAAATATAATAAACTAAATCTATGCACAACAATCTGTCCAGGTTGGTGTCCTCAGCAGTAAATACAAGGAGAACTACTAAACAAATGTTACTGTAAGGAAAATAATTAAACCATTATGATAAATGAAGTTAAAGATGATCTTTTAAAAAAAAGTTTAAAGTTTTATTGACATGATTGTTGGTGACTGTTTTGGCCAGATTTGGTAGCAATACATGAACTAAGGAAAATTAAGACCTGTTTAAAAAAAAGATTTAAGACCTACAACACAATATTTCAGTAAATTTAAGGCTTTTTAAGGCCTAACATTAGAATTTTGAGATTTAAAACATTTTAAGTCCCTGCAAAAACCCTGTTTAAACTGTGATTTATAAATCACCTGAAAGCTCAATAAATAAGCTTTCAATAATGTACAGTATACTATAGAGCATTGTAAACATTTACATTATGAGTTAAACATAAGATGTAGCAGAAAATGCTAGTTTTTATTTGCTTGGTCTGTTTGTTTACATGGAAATGGGATTTTGTAGCCCTAAAATGGGCTTTAAAATGCTGAAGTTTAGGAAAATGATACTGCACATATATGACCCTGGACCACAAACAACAAAACCAGTTAAAAGTCCCAATTTGTTTTAAATGACATGTTTACATTGACTTAGAGCTTTATAAATCAGCTTTCTAATGATGTATACATTATTATGATATGATAATATTTGGCTGTGATTCACCTATTTAAAAATCTGAAATCTGATGGTTTCCAAAAATTCTAAATATTGAGAAAATCACTTTTTCTACAGTTTTATAGCCTAAATAACGAGCTTGGCAATGCATATTACTAATGAAAAGTCAAATTGTCATATATTTACAGTAGAGAATTTGCTAAATATCTTTACAGAACATGATCTTCACTTAATATTCTGATTTTAGTGGCATAAAGGAAATATCTGTCATTTCCAGGATCGCATTTGTATTATATTATGAGTGTGAAGTGCATTTACCAGGGTATGGGTCATCTCCATATGTGACAATTTCAGTTAAAAGGATGCCGAAGGACCAGACGTCGCTCTTGCTCGTGTACTCGCCGTTGTCGAATATCTCTGGAGCCATCCATTTCACCGGAAGTCTGACATCTGCTGGCAGACCACAACTCAGACGTGTACTCTCATTTGGGTGTGTAATATGTATGAATATACTGTATTTTCTCACCTGAAGAAATCCTTTGGTTTCCAGGTCTGTTAACTTGAGCGAGTCCGAAGTCGGCAATTTTGCAGGACTGCATCTCGGTGAGCAGAATGTTCTCGGCTCTCAGATCCCGGTGAACTATTTTATTCTCAATGTAAATCATCCCTTCTGTTATCTGAGAGAAATTCAACGAACCCAAAACATTAATTAGAGACTTCACTAACTCATTCGGAAATATCTACTTTCTTATATTATTATTTTAAGCTATATTGATTTCAGGTACTGGCCATAGTCAAAATCACCTGTCAATCAAATCAAAGAAGGCGGGGCTTTACAGTTTTAAAAGAAAAAGGAGCGCGAATTCCAGCGAGGCTTCAGTTTTTAATGGTCGAAGTATGAGTTAAGATTTAGCTAAATCATAAAATTATTATTGTAATGTCTGTAAACTTTATAGTTTGAACAATATTGGGGCAGGACAGGTGAAATACGATAATTTCCGGCCATGAGCTGCTTTTAAGAATGGAGTGCAGTGTTGCCAGATTAGGCGGTTTCCCACATTTTCCATGATTTTCGCGACCGTTACAAACTCCCCCTTTCGGCGAGTTTTGGATTGTTTTTAGGCTGGAATCAGTCAGCTACATCTGGCAACACTGATGGAGCGGCAGTTGTGAGGAAGAAGTGTGGCGTGCGCGCCAAGCAGACAACACCGATCAGACAATGCAGACAAATTAAGAAAGGTTGGGCAGCGTCAATGTTTTTTGAGGTAAAGTTAAGCTTGTATAATCATGTTTTAAGTGGGGTAATGCATATAAACGTGTATTAAAACAGGATGTGCAGTCGGGAATACCTACAGCAGGTGCTAATGCTGGGTAACAGCTACCGTAGCTGTGTCCAGGTAAGTGATCAATGATTGAGATATACAGTTGTAACCAGAAATGAACAGACACTGTATAAAAAGGCACATAACCATTTTAAAAAAAGGTCAGATGGTAATGGAACTAAACTTTTTCTCTTTTACGTAAATTAGGATTATTAAATTTGTTTCTGTTCTGCTTAATAGCAGAATAATGAGAGATTTTTTGAGAAATTGTTTTAACTTTTCCTTAAAGTCAAGTTTACATACAATAATATTATTCTGCCTCTGAAAAAGTTCAGATGATGGTGTCAAGGTTTTGGAAGTTTCTGATTGGCTAATTGCCAACATTTGAGTTAATTAGAAGCACAACTGTAGAATAGCATTTAAGGAAAACCTTTAATTTAAGGAAAACCTCAAACGCATTATTAACTCAATTAACAAAAAAAAAAAAAAAACAGATTACAATTTGTTAAATTACACTGGGAAAAAGGAATATTATTTGGAGACATGGATGGAACTAAGATTGAACTGTTTGGCCATAGTGACCCGTGTTGCATTCGGAGGACAAAGGGGAAAGCTTACAAGCCTAGGAACACCATCCCAACTGTGAAGTATTGGGGGCAGCATCATGTTGTGGGGCTGTTTTACTGCAGGAGGGACTGGTCCACTTCACAGTATAGATGGCATCATGAAGAAAGAACATTATGTAGAAATACTGAAGCATCATCTCAAGACATCAGCCAGGAAATTAAAACTTGGCCACAAATGGGTCTTCCAAACAGACCATGACCCTAAGCATACTGCCAAATTAAAATGTGCTTTAAGGACAAACAGAGTGAATGTTTTGGAGTGGCCATCACAAAGCCCTGATCTCAATCCTATAGAAAATTTGTGGGCAGAATTGAAAAAGCTTGTGCGAGCAAGACTGCCTACAAATCTGACTCAGTTACACCAATTCTGTCAGGAGGAATGGGCCAAAATTCCTTTAAGCTAGTTTGAGAAGCTTGTGGAAGGATACCCAAAACATTTGACCAAAGTTATACAGTTTAAAAGCAAAGCTAAAAAAATACCAAGGAAATGTATGTAAACTTTTGACTGTTTAGAAATTAATAAATAATTCTCTAAAAAATTCTCTCATTATTCTGGCATTTAGCAAATGTAAATAATTTAGGTAATCCTAATGGACCAAAAATAGTAAACATTTAGGATGATTTACCATCAGACATTTAAAAAAAAATGTTTATCTTCCTTATTTTAGAGTGTTTGTAAATTCTGGTTTCAACTGTTCATGTTTGTTTCATGCTGTTTATTTGTTAGTATTGTGTGTATGTATATTATAAGGGCTGTCTTTGATGTTTAAAAAGGTTTATGGTGAATGTTGTATTTTAAATGTTTTATGGTATGATCCAAATTGCCTTGAAACTATTGCTCGTTTCCACCTGATATGAAAACCTAAATGTGATTGTTCTGCTCACCTGCTACCAAAGTGGTTTACGTAGTAAATTATTTGATATCCCCTTTGTGTAATTAATTAAGGTTATTTAAATGAAAATCATTTTTCTTTATTTTCTTTCTAACAAACCAGGAGTTGCATTATTCACAGCTTTTTGTAACACCACTGTTATATTATTAAGAGACCTAAGAGTATTATCCATGCAAACTACTCAACGTTTAGGTTACAATTTGCCATTTTGAATGGACATTTTTTTTTGGTATGTTTGTATGAGAGGTGTAAAGTAAAGAGGTAAAAATGTTTAGCAAGAATTCACAGAGATTCAACAGAAGAAAAAAAAAACATTAATTTGAGACGTTACTAACTTGAGAAATTAACTAGTTGTTTTTCCATTTAATTTTAAGCTACATTTCAGGAAATCCAACCTGAAATTTTACACAGAATTAAGACATTTTAACAATCGATTTGATCAAGTAGTTTTTACCAGATGTCGTATCGGGCATACGAGAATAACACATGGTTTTTTGCTCCAAGGTGAAAACCCTACTCAGTGTTTGAGCTGCAAAACTCCTCTTACTATAAAACACATTTTACTGGACTGTCCTGCTTTTACTCATTCCAGAAGACTTTTTTTTAATGAAATGAACTCTTTTAAGGACATTTTTAACAAAGTGAAACCAGAAAAGATTTTAGTATTTTTATCATGTGTTAACACAAAAAATCTTATTTAATTTATGTTTTATTTTGTTTGTTGATTTTTAAATTGTATATTTATTATTGAAAGATTCCTGCCATGAAAATAGCCTTGGTTGCTGACATGGCATTAAATGATTAATAAATTAAATTAAAAGGCTATGTGACAAAACTATATTGAAGTAATGAGACTTGACTAACTCAATGAGAAATAACTAGTTTCTTATTTTAAGCTACATTTCAGGCTCTGGCCATAGTCAAAGAACCTGTTAATCGAATCAAAGAAGGCGGGGCTTTACAGGTTCAAATGCAACAAGCACGAATTCCAGCGAGGCTTCAGTTTTTAACGGTCAAAGTATGAGGTTAGATTGAGTTTTTTAACGTGTTTGGACATCCCTGATAAAATGCAGTTGTGTCAGATGTGAATGTGGAGTTTTTATGCTTGTGTAAGGTGTTTGAAGACCAGAATGAGGGCTTCCTCATTCCTCACCTCCTCCAGCGCATTTACCGAATTGATTTGTCCTTCATGATCATCGAATTCCAGGTCATGGCTTGGAGGACGGCGGAGCGGGAAATGAGGAAGCATCAATCTGAATATAGAGAAGCAGCTGATCTTGCATGACAGCAATACCAAACGCAATTGAAAAAATAATGAACCCGTCACCTGTATCCCTAACATTAAAGCCAATGTAGAGAGCCTTTTCCAGAAAATCAATCAATGAATGAATTGCTTACTTAAAAAAATGAATGCATCGACATGTATTGATTATAGTAACTCACTGGGCTATAAACCTGCACTGCTATAAAAAATTGAGTAATGGTGTTTCCTTCAAGCTTCATAAATTTTTTAATAAAAGCATTCCATTGTCATATAAAGACATTTTCATTCATTTATTTTCCTTCAGCTTAGTCACTTATTTACCAGGGGTCACCACAGCGCAATGAACTGCCAACTATTCCAGCATACGTATTACACAGCGGATACCCTTCCAGCCGCAACCCAGTACTGGGAAACATCCATACACTCACATACACTCACACTCATGCACTAAAGACAATTGTCGCTGAATTCACACGGGGCGTCAGCATCAACGCTTCCCGTTCCGTTTGAATGGGTAACGTGAGGCGTTGCTTGCTGCAGAAGTTGGGACTAGCTCAAGTTTTCAAGCGCAGACGGAAGCGTCACCCAATCAGATCGCTGTATGCAAATACACCAGCTAGACAGTAGCCTATTGCTGACTGAATTTTATTGGCTGACGCTGCTATGATGATCGTGTTAGCCCCAACTTCAGACAAGCCTTCAGTCAAGTGTTGACGCTGAAGTCCTGTTTGAATGGAGCGTTAGTTCATCCAATTCACCTATAGCGCATGTCTTTGGATTGTGGAGAAAATCGCAGCACCCAGAGGAACCAGAGACCTTTTTATTAGGCGGCAGTGCTTACCACCGAGCCATCGAGCTGCCCATAAAGACATTTTCAATCAATAAAATAAAAATCTGCCTTACAATACTTGTTTCATTCAAAACACACAGCGAGCTTAATAAATTTGTTTGGGAAACGATTAAAATATAAAATTTTAATATGTCATTAAATGATTCTGAATCTAAAAAAAGGAAAGGAGCAGATGATTGAATTTATGAATTTGATTTCATGTATCTTTATGATATTGAACTTTAACAAAATTATATAATCAAAGTCTCAGAGCGCAATTCAAATGCATAAATGACAAAACTTATGAAGCACAAAATATGGAAAACTTAATTTAGGAATATTTTTATAAGCCCCTTTCAAACATACAGACCCTTACGGAAAATTACCGGCTGTTTTCTGGAAAGGTCTTTATGTGTGAACAGGCCCTTTTTAAAGTAAAAAACATTGAGTTATTTATTTAACCCAATGGTTGAGTTAAACGTATGTGGTGCTTTGTTGGGCTATTTTTAACCTTTATTAGAATTTTTAATAATAACTCAATCAGTAGAGTTAAATTTGGTGCTTTTTTTGGTTATTTTTAACCTTTATTTGGTTAAGTTATCAACTCAAACAGTTGGGTTAAAAATTGGAATTTCAACAGTCAACTGATTTAACTGACACAAAGCTGTATTAATACACGTGCGCATTGCTATTTTGCGTTATAACGTTTATTCAAGTTCTAATGCAATAATAATGTAGTTATTTTTTTTAAATCAAATTACCTCTCAGTGTCATATTTTTTATATCCGTTTCACCATCTAAAACCATCTTTTATTAGATAGATGAGTGGTTAAAATGTATTGTACATTGTAGACGCTGAGTGAAGCCTGCTGCAGCTGCTGGATAGTCTCTACAGCACACAGAGCTCCATATTCTGCTCCATCAACACGATTTCTGCCTCCGCAGTTTATAACTGTCTGCATTTTGTTCTGTTTCTTCATTGTTCGTGATTCTAGATTTGTTTTAACAAAAGTGTCTAAAATCTAATAGAAATAAAGCATTTTCAATATTTTTGAAAACTATATAATATATATTAAACAGGCATAATGTGACAATGGAAAAATTACATTTAATGAAAATAACCCAATGCATTAAGTTAAATTATATTACTCTGCATTGGGTTAAAATAACGCATAGTTTGGATTGGAAGGTGCTATAATAACCTATAGTAGAGTTATATGTTGGGGTATTTTTAACCCAATTATTTTAACAGAGTACTGGTTCATTAGTTCTAGCAATTTTCTGCAAAGAGAAGTTGTAACATTACCGGTAATTTACCGGAATGCTGCGCTGTGTGAACGCAGAAGGAAGATCGAGTGAGAGTGCGCTCACGATTAGAACGTGCTGACGTGAGACATCTACTCCAGCCAATCAGAATACTCAGAGCCATTCACATCCGTGCTGTTTATGAAAATAAAAGCCTTAGAATATTTTCCCAGACGCATTTAGCTGCTAGATGTTACTCCGATATCGTTTCTATATTCCTTCTTAATATCAACTGTTTAAATAATTATTGCTAAAATGCTTATGATAAACGACTGTTTGTTTACCTTCAAGCTCTGCTTTAGTTGCTTGACGCGTGTGCACGTGAAGCAGCCGGTGAGTGCCAGCACACATATTATGTACATCTCGACATGCAAAAGTGTTTCTCCATATGTTTTCATCGAAGTTGTTCACAATACTCATCCATCCGCAGTTTGTAATTATGTCAAATGAGTAAACATTTAGCCATGGTTAGTACTTCTGCCTTGGGATGTCTCTGGGACAAAGCAGCTGCATGAATGCTAAAGTTTTAAATAAAATTTAAATTATTAACAAAAGCTTGACCCCTTCTATTTTTCAAAATACAAGCACCGCTATTTAGAGCTCATTTCTGGTTAATGATGTCAGAAATGATCGTTATTTTGGAATGGGTGTGTGAATGGTCTTTTCCGGAAAAATTCAGGAACGTCCTTGCCTGTGTAAACAGCGCTTTTTTGAGTTTACCATAAAGTAGTTCTTGTAATTTTCTGCATATTTACCGGCATCCCTGTGTGAAAAGGGCTATAGTGTCTTTCTGTTTTTCATTAAGCACATCTAACATGAGGGAGTGATTTTTGCACATTCACTCTTCAATTGGATTTGAATGCCAAAAATATCACCTAAATTGCTGATGATAAGTGTGAGCACAAATTGCCCTGGTGTTAAAGAGACAAAAACAAAGTTACCTGGATAGCAAAATCCAGCATGAGAGAAAACTCTAGGTCTTGTTTCTCCTTGTGACCTAAGGAAAAAAAAATAAACGATATGTTTATTTGTTTAAGAGCATTTATCACTTCAGTAGGAAAGCGATGTGTCGGTAGGGACGGGCGATACTTTTCAATTCTATTTGTTTATTGTCATGTGCACAATGCGTAAACAAGTTTCCCTGTACAATGACCTTCTTTGCCGTCCACAGTGAAGTCATACACATCATACATGACATAGATCTAAATAAATTGGGTCTCAAAGCCTACTGAAGCACATATGCTTTTTACTGGGGCAAGTTTTTGTTTTTTCTTTCTTTTGCACCGTCTCCCTGTGCCGCCCCCTGCAAGATGCCACCCTGGGTGATCGCTCATATTGCCCTTGCCTAAATCCACCACTGCATGCATCAGTGCATGTTTGCATTTTCATGTGAACAGAGATTTATTTTAAACTAAAGTGGTGAAGACTCTGTTTATAAAAATAGCCGTGCATGTGTGGACTAAAAAAAATGTGTGGACAGTTAACAAAAAAAAAAATATATATATATATTTCTTCTGTTGCACTCAGTGGTCAAATTCACTCCTTTAAGTGGATTGTTTTTGTAGACTAATGAAGGGAGGAGTAAATAAGGGTATCCGCTTGTTAAGTGGTGACGTGTTTGTGACGTATGTAATACTGTTTCCGGGTCCAAGCCGCCATTCATTTGAGTGGAGAAATCATTCGTTTATGTTCACGTTTTATTCCTATCACACATTAAAGTAAATTTTATATAAAATCATAGTGAACACAACAATCTCTGGGCTTGCTGCATAACAAATACCAAAAATGTAACAATGTATAAAAATATTAATCACTTTCTGGCCATCGGATATTAGGCATGGGCATATATACGACGTTCGTAATTTTTGAAAGCATTAAATCGCTTTGTAAACGTTAATAATTACCATTTCATCAGTCTCCCCATTCAGTTGAATAGAGCGCTTGGACCCGGAAGCCGCTTCGCGTGACGTCACACTTAACAAGCGGATAGTGGTGATGTCGAATACAGATTTGAATGTCTTTTGTAATGCAAATGTGGAGTTTTCTCAGTTTCGCCCTATAGTGTCCAATATGATTGAAACCGATAGTACATTGACTGTTTACATGGACTTCAGTAATCAAATTGTTTGACTTTGGCGCACACGTGTAGGTGCAAATGTGGCCCAGTTTTCTTGAGACATATGTGAGCCACTTTTGGCAAATATTTGGCACAGTAAGCTCTGGCTAATGCGGCTGTGAGCCTAAAGTGGCCTAGTTATCTTAATACATATGCGGACCACTTTTGGAGAATATTTGGAAAAGTAAGGGGTCATAAAAGGGTAATAAATTATAGGGGACAAACCATAGCTCTTTGACATGGCAGATATGGGTAGTAATAAATAAAGTACACTGTTAAACTTTTCATTGTAAAAAGAACAGAATAATTTCTTTGTAATATTTACAGAATAATACTGGCAGTTGGGTTGTCAGCCACATACAGTACTGTGTTTTTACAGTCCACTCCTGTAGATTACATTCACATTACTGTTAAAATATATATTTACACTGTGTTTTTACAACTCAAACCTTTAACCCTTTAAACCCCACAGCAAAACTCTGTATTAAATGAACACTTCCAAGTGTCCACACTACTGAGTGTTCAAAAAACCGCTCAAGATAATGGGTTAAAAATAGAGAAACATAGACTAAAGTCACCATCCTGGAAAAAATTGCTTCAGTTGGGCTCTTAGCCCTGAACCTCCTAATGTAATTTTTCTTTTGGGCTGCTGTAACTTTTATGAACTTTGCTTGAAAAGTTTATTCATTACAGCAAACAAGCCAAGTAAAAAACAAAACAATAAAATTAAGTAAGGCACAACCTGTGATGAAATAGTATAATTCACTGATGTTAACCAATGTTTAATCCATTATTAAAAGTAACGTAATCACATGCTTGCACATGCCACAGAATTATAGGGTTTATAAGCTAAAAAAAATATTTGGTTCAACTGCTCACAGAGATATCAATAATCAGCATATAAACCTCAACAACGGTGACAACTAACAAAATGAACAAAACTCACAAACATCACAAACAGGGGACTTAAAGTGACAAAATCAACAACGTCAACAAAAACGTAAGAATCAACAGCAAATAACTGGAGCTTCAATAAGCTATAGAATGTATTCATACTGCAATGCATGCTGGGATTTTTGTACTTTGGCACACCCAGCAAGTGTAAGGTGTAGGCCAGATCTGGGCCAGAATAAAAGCTAACCAGAATAGGGTCATTTCTGGTTCATTTGGTTGAATTCTGGCTGATATGTGGTATTGCTTTGGTGTATTTGTGGCCCAGATCTGACAAACAGGAGCGGACCACCCTAGAGCCATCATTATATTTATTATGTGGTCCAGATGTAAGTGTCTGGTGTGGGCTGGATCTGGGCCAGAATAAAAGCAAACTGTGGCCCAGAATTGGCTCCGTTCTATTTCATTTGGTTGAATTCAGGCTGATATGCAGTATTGCTTTGGCTTAATTGTGGCGCTGAACTGGCAAACAGGAGCGGACCACCCTAGAGCCATCATTCCATTAAGTGTATAGTGCAGATGTAAGTATCTATGGTGTGAGTTAGATCTGGGCCAGAATAAAGCAAACTGTGGCCCAGAATAGAGTGACTTGAATTTTGCTAGCTGGGCTACTACTTAAGTAGGTACTGCATTGGAATTTAAATTTACTACACGACCGTTGGTAAAATATACTCTATTTAGCATAAATGAGAGTATGAATGGAATTCAGAAGTTACTAGATCTGCCGTTTGTCATTATCCCCCCCCCCCGGTGCCTCATTTAACTGCCATTCATAAATTCACTTTTGTGGCATCATGGGATAGCGTAGCGTCCGCCGTATGTATACTTCAGAATCTCAGCAGAAGTAGTATGTGATCCGGAAACTTTTCGCAAACTGTTTGTTTTTTGTGCTCGCTTTGTTTTTAATGTACTATATAGTATGGAAGTATGCAATTTCAGACACAGCCATAGTTTTAGGTTAGAATCAGTTTATCAGTTAGAATCAGGATTAAAGTAAAGCCATCTGTTGTGTTTTTAGATGATTGACTACACTTACGTAATAGAAATGTCTTTAAGCTGCCGTTTTTCATGAGCTCCGTGACTATACACATTGGTTGACTTGTGGTACACACAGCGTAGAGCTTCAGCAAGCGCTCGTGATGCAGGTCCTTCATGATTTCAATCTCTGTTTGGATGTCTGAATAATTGACACCTGCAAGTAAAATGGTATAGATATCAGTATAACTGCATCATAAAATAGTCCAAGATACAAATTTGAGTCAGTGGTTCATAATTGGTAAATGTCAAACTCAAAATGAGACACTTTTTTTATTGGATTAGCAGGCAAAAATGATAATACTGTACATAAAAATATTAAGATTTGCGGCTATTTTTTTATCATAAATCATCTTTCCCCCCATACATATAAACAAAATATACATTTTGATAAAAATTAATCAGGGAAATCAATGGGACTGAGTTGAAGTAAACCCATGTGAGATCCTCTGATTGAAGCTCTTGTGTTTATAGTTTGTGTGTAATGTACAGTAAGTGGATCACCCTTGAACTCTTTGATGGCTACTTCTGTTGTGTTGTTCCAAAGCCCCTGCCACACGTCTGCAAACTCCCCGCTGCCGAGTTTCTGTTGTTTGGTGAGTGAACTTCTGTCTATTTCACATTTGCTGTCAAATGACAGAGTCTGAGGAACCGGCTGATCCAGCTACAACAGAAATGGGCAGATTGTCAGAGTCAAAATTAAATGCAGTAACTTCATTAATCTGTTGGTTCAGTCCAGGGATGACAGAGTAATAATAGGCGATCAGTTCATCGTCAATTAAGCATGAATTTAGAGACAATTCATTCAACTCATTTTGAGTTTACAAGTTTTTTAAGACAATTTGGAAATGCACATGAGCCCTTTTATTATTTTTAGCACATCTCTTTGTCTAATAAAAATATATTATGTCAGAAATCCAAACTAAATTGCAATCATTGAAAAATAGCTCAGTTTTTGAGTGTGTTAATCATGTTAATCAAGGTTTAAGAAATCTAGCAAATCCTGTTGTGCAGCACAATATTGCCCAAATGATTAATTGAATGGTTCCTATATTTTGTAGAATAGATTTATCATCATTTTCAAATGGTAGTTTCTCCATAAGGCTAAGTGCCAACCTTTTATAGATGGAGATTCATCAGATGCTCACAGCAAAAGAGTATTTTCCATGCTAAAAAAAAAAGGAATGACATAAGAGCCTCAAATCCCCGTCCATTGACTTGTCCTCTGTAGTGGACATTGCGTTTTCATGAATTTTCTATGAATTTTTTGAGCTACTCTGTCAAGTCCTGTTGTACACCCACCTGGTCTTTCTAGTGATATGCTATTTGATTGGCTGGCATGCTAGGAACCACTTCTTACACTTCATCCAAAATGGCCGGCATACAAACAAGCACATTTTATGGGAAGAAGAGAGATATGTAAAAAGTAGCTTTTTAAATGTTTTTTACTATTATTATTACATGTATATTTGTTTATGAAAGTGTCAGCAACAATACATTTAGCTTTCAAAGCGGTTAACTTGTTTGTGTTTTAAAATATCCTTTTTTAAAATGTCCACTATATTGGACACCAGGACCATCTTAATGTAATTAATGACTGCATGTTTTAGGGGGCAGAACTGAAGCAGAGATGTTTCTTTATAAGATAGTTGAGGGAGACTCTGATTTAGGGTGCTTTCACATTTGTAGTTCGCTTCATTTGGTCCGGACCAAGCGCAATAAATGATGCATTGTTGCATTTTCTGCCGTCTTTGGGTCGTTTTTACATCACTGCTGGCTTTGGTCGGAACCAGTTGAAACGAACCAAAATGCAGTCATCTGACAAAATCCACATCACTCATTGGCCAGAAGTTGTTGAACATAGTTCCTAAACTGCTTATTGATTGGTCAGAATTCACGTGCGGGAAAATGCCAGTGAACTCCCGCAGGTAAACAAAACCGGCAGACACAAAATGTCGCTTTTACTCTGGGGACGACTGCACTGACTGATTGAATGCCTGCTTAAGACAAACTGTACATTTCGAGAATGAAGCGCGGCTGGAAAACAGTGTTTAATGCATCGCTCGTCACTTCAGGAGGATGCGTGAATTAATTTAGCTAAACTGCAACATGGTCATCTTGCGGAAATATTACCAACGATCCATCAGGTAATGTTTTCCCCTCTCTCTCTCTCTCTGTTGGTAAAGCGCTGTCAACACATATTTTTCCTCCATATCCCATAATGCACAGCGCATCAGCCTACGGCAGCTGAATTAGTCCAGGCGCAGTACTTTTTACGGTTGGACCTGTTTTAGTACGGATCATATTCTCACCACAAACGAACCGCTCCAGGGTTCGTTTGAAAGCGTACCGAGACCACCTCTTCAAGCAGGTCTCGGTACGCTTATTTGGTCCGCTTTTGGTGCGCACTCGAGTTCAATTGCTGCATTCTCACCTGCCCAAACGAACCGCACCAAAAGGGGAAACAAACTCTAGTGCAATTCAATCGAACTAAATAAGGCAGGTGTGAAAGCACCCTTAGAGTCTGACAATCAGACAATTTGAGAATGACTATCAGTTTTAAACCGCTTTTATGTTAAATTTGTTTTGCATTAACATCACTTTTTTTTTCTTTTTTTGAGTTCGGCTCTCTTTCAGACCAAACTGTTTCAGGACTTTCAATACAAAAGGAAAAAAATGGCTTAATAACCCCTTTACAGCCATATCCTGTACAGTTTTGTTGTCTGAGTTTGGCTGTCATTTCGAACTAAAACGGTCCTGTGGTTCACTACAGTGGACATGCTGTAAATTTAATAATAAAAACAAAATGTAAAAACTCTAAATTGTAGATTCGTTTTTTTTTTAACCCAAAATATGTAGGAAATTACAGAAAAAAAAAAAAGAAAAAAATTATTTGGGTCTCAGGAGTATATTTGCTGCACACTCAAAACAAAAAAGATTTTTGCTGCTTGTTCAAACTACTTATTTAAAATAAGCTAAAACAACACAATTCTGGATTGTATTTGTTAGTTAAGTTAACTTGATTTGTGTTGGGACAGCATGAATGAATTATGTGGAACCCTGCTTTTTTGTACAGTGCAGAAGTTATCTTGCTCTGTAGTTAATGATTAATTGATTATTAATGTAATTGACAATCGATCATGCACAGAATGAAAATGATTCATTGGATTTACTACATTTTCTTAAGGTAAGTGGTTGCAAAAAATCTCCATGAGCTGAATTTAAACAAATAATTGTAATGTTCTACTTAATGTGTTTGTTTAAATACAGCCCAAATAAACTGTTTGCAACCACTTACCTTAAAAAAATGTAGTAAATCCAATTAATCATTTTTTCAGGGTGATCATTTGAGCTATAATTAACACCAAGTGAACAACCCCTGTTAAAACTGACTGACCTTCACACAGGCTTCATGAAGTTTGGCACAGAGTCCTCCTTCATGTTTGGAGTAAAACTCGATGAGCTTGCGGAGGCTCTGGAAGGTTGTGTGATGAACGAGGAAAAACTGCTGGTCGTTTTCTCCCTGCTTGATCCGGTAATGTCGTGCATGAGGGCCATTTTTCACTTTCAGAAAAAAAACATTAGTTAGTTTTACAAAAATACACTACTCTGAAAGTTCAGAGATAGTTTGTTCATTTCTCTATTCGAGTGCATAACAATCCTTTAGATGTGTGTAAATCACATGTACTTTACCTGATAAATAATAATGATTATTTTCATCACATTTCCAGACGAGAAACGCTCCCTCTTTGTTCTCTGGTCTCAGCAGGCATCTTTTGGCCTCTACACGCGTTTTAACATTCTCAAAATACCATCTGAAAATCAAACCATATAAGTTGTTAAGTTTATTTGTTTGTGTGCAGTGTAAAAGAAGTGTCATTCTCATATCGTATTAAATACAATAAAAAAAAAAAAAAAAAAATATATATATATATATATATATATATATATATATATTAGGGGTGTAACGATTTATTGTTGTACGATTTATTGCGATGCAAAAATGTCACAATATGCATCGTGGCGTTATGATGATTTGATTACGATATGACGTCCGTTTTCTCTTATTAGTTGAGCTGTTTGCACGTGAGCTACGTTCCACCTGCTGTCGCACGTGAGTTCAGATTGCAGCAGCAGTAATGTTAGCAGACCAAGATGAGTGGAGCTGCAATAGTGGATGACCCATCCTCTCAAAATCAGACGTCTGGCAACATTTCGGTTGTACAGTCATTGCTTTAGACTCGTCCGCTTTTTGACACGCATACTGGGTCAAACATCCTAAGTTTTAAAGTCTTCTCAGTGATTTACATACTCTGTACAGCGACAGGGATACCTCCTAATGCTGTTGAAAGAGTCACATACTGTATTTATAAGGTACAATTCACCCTAAAATATCATTCTGTCTTCATATAATGTTCCCGCCGCAAAATCACACATGACGTGAGCTGACCGTGAACTGTTACTACAGAGGGCGGATGATAGACGCGTGCGTATGGCAAGCCGTTTTAGCATTTAAACCTTTGTTCTGACTATCCATAAATATATTTAGAGATATCTCTTATCTCTTATTAATTATAATTCGACTAGTCAGAATGACAATTAGAGATATCTGCAATTACAATTGTACTAGTACGAAATCAGATTGGAGATATCTGCAAATATATTATGACTAGTCATATTCCTCCATTGACTTCCATTGAAAAATATTTGCAGATATCTCTAAATGAGTTTTGACTAGTCACAATTGTAATTAGAGATATCTCTAAATTAATTTAATTAAATATGAATTAAATACATGGAAATGTGGATTTTTTTTTGCACAAACAATAAACGCAAGTGACCAAGCAAAGCCTTAAGCTCTTACTGTTAAATTCAATTGAATAGAAAGCTTATTTTTTTGCACCTTTACTTAAATTGTTCCTTAATTTTGTCTCTGTCATTTCAACAATATTTTTAAGAAGTTTTTAAATTGTTTTATTTTCTTAAAGAATGTATTGTATTTTCTTAAAGAAGGTTCAGTTTAACAAGTTGAAACAAAAAAAATACATAAAAAATAGTTTACTTGGTAAAATTTGCATTTCAGTTTAATTTAAAATTTTTATTCCAAATATCGTGATACATATCGAATCGTGAATATTATATCGTGATACACATCGTATCGTGAGCTGAGTGTATCGTTACACCCCTAATATATATATACATACATACATACATACATACATACATACACATTTACTTAGGGTACCGTAATACAGTGTTTCCTCTAGGATTTTTTCCAGCTGTGGCGGCAGGCCTTTTTTTAAAAACAAAGATCTACCAAGTACCTGTGGCGTAATTTCATTTCTCATTGACAAATGTCATGATTACAAGTCGAGATCGCATTTATGTAATAGCCTACAGCATGCTGATCTCTTTGCTTGTGCGCTGATTTCCTCTGCTCGTGCACAAAACTTCTTGCACGCCCCCTCAAATATAAGCCGCTTCAAGAGCGCGCAGATCTTCTTCTTTTGGTGAGCATGTTGCATGACAGAAAGTTTCAGACAACATAATTTTTACTCTAGGAGATGTCTAAAGTAAAGCTGTACAGGTCATTTACATATCATATGAGAAGCACTTCTCACAAAACGGATGCCTTACATAAATAATTCATGTATAAATATTTATTACGAACTTTTCTATAAACATGATTTGATTATAACTGCAGATCAATGACAGTGTGAAAGTACTGTATTATCTGCAATTATATAACATAAATAAATAAATGCAACATATATGAACACATACAGCACCTTACAGTCTCCGATATGTTAGCAATTACAGAAAAACTACACACAGCATACATTTAGGTCTTGTTTGGGTTCAAAAACAACAGGAAATATAGCCCACAGTCAGAGCAAACCTCTCATATAGGTCTTTAATCTTCAGCAGCACATGTAGCCTCTTGTTAGAAAGTCCATAATAGTCCATAAGCTGATGATAATAGTTAAACATGGCAGTTTGTTCATCTTTTAGGTTGAAGAAAAGTCGCTTCTTACATGATCGGATATCAAAATGCTTCAATGATCACGAGCATGTTATTAATATGAGCACAAAAAGTTTGTTATTTCAAATATAGATGCGCTGCAAGCTCTCTGGAGAATGTGAAACCACTCACGCTTTAGACGGGCTCGTAAAACAACAACAGGACACAGCAGATTTTGTTCTTCTTTAGTTTGTGGCTGTACATCAAGGTGGCAACAAGGTTTGGTTGAGCTCGGGTCGACCATGGCTTACGTATTACGATGTAATGTCTTGGCTGTGTTTTTTTAAATTGTTTTCAATCTCCTGCTTCTGCGTGTGATGTTTCTCTGTAAACCAATAGCGTTCAGCTGCATGTCTTGCTTTGCCAAATGGTAACCTTTGGGCCAGTTGGTACCTTTTGCAAAGGGGGACCAAAAAGTGGTAAGGGACGGTTGCTTTAAGGTAAACTTTGACAGTGGAAACGGCCATAAAAGCGCACCGTACCGTGCCACTCAGTGGAAACGGGCCATTAGTGGAAAACGGCGTATTTAATTCATTCAGTCAGGAAGGATCTCAAAGCATGCATCCGTGACCGAAATATGACCTCCGGTGGACTTTAGCAGACTCCGAAATGATACGCAAATTCAAAGCTCCACATGAGGTTGTTAAATAGGATATACTCTAAATATTACAAATGTAAACATTAGGTGAGCAGATTACATAGCAACTCTGTGTCCTAACACCACGCAATGTGAGGAGATTTGCAGTGATAAGCAATTTGGCGGTTTGCACCAAACATGATAACACAATACAAATTTAATAACAGCCATTCAGAAGCACAGAATAGTGCACTCGCTGCATTCCAACAAAATGGAAAGCTTTATAAACTAATTAGTACATAACCTCTTTAGGATTATTAAATGCATGCTGATTCACTAATATGTGTTGGCAGACTTTATGCAAATGTCAAGCAAAAAATGCCTGCCGGCAACCAATCGCTGTGAAATTAGGCAAGGCAAAATGTTGACATTTTTCTGAGAGTTTGCAGAACTGGATTACTGAGCTGAAATCACTTACATGTAGGATACTATGATAATGCATTACTTCATACTTTCAGTCTACACAACCATGTATGCCTGTGTGTTTGTGCATTGATCATTCTTTGCACGTGTGATCAATGTGTAAACACACAGTCTTCCACCTGATTAAACCAGGCATGCTCAGCTATAAATTAGACATGCCTCAGAGCAGTGTACCATTGCATGAAGCATTGAGCACAGATTTGACACTGCAGTGGAAACGGACTGTGAAACAAAAAACTAATTCACAAGCTTTAATTGAGTTGTTGTTGGTTAACATTAGAATTGCCACAAGGTTTACTAGATGGCACTTCATCCTGCATCTCAGCCATTCATCGAGACTACACCTCCCACAGTGCATTACACCAATCCCCCCATTACAGCTGTTGCACATTTCCTGAACTATTGCCTATGTTACACCTGTTCACAATCATCCAGACTATATAAGCCTCACTCACTCGCTGCGAAGTCTTGTTTAGTTGTTACTCACATTTCCGAGTGTGTTCCTTGTAGTGATTGCAGAAACTAGTGATGGCGAGAGGAAGCATTATAAAGCATTGGAGCATTTCAACCAAGTGGTTCACAAAAGGGTTCATTTCTCGAGGCTTCATTTGTACACAATATCACCTGGTGGCCAAAGAGTGTAAATCAAGCAGATTCATTACAGATGACACTGTGATTTTTTTATTTATTTATTTATTTATTTATTTATTTTTGTGCCAGATAAGATTTAAATAGCAACTTCCTCATACTGTAGACCAGTGGTTCTCAAACTTTGGTACGTGTACCACTAGTGGTACGCAGGCTTCCTTCTAGTGGTACACGGAGGAATGAAATATGTCTTGTACATGCTTCTCACATTTCAAAGTTTACCAAAAATGATGTATATAATATGCCATATATGACATATAGCCTATATTTCTGAGGTAATCTGCCATGATTTTTTAACTGTGCAGAGTTGTAGCTGCTTTACCGAGTCTACTACGCTACTGTATTTCAATACTACTAATTTTGGTGGTACTTGGAGAGACAAATTTTTTCTAAGGTGGTACTTGATGAAAAAAGTTTGAGAACCCCTGCTGTAGACTAATCTGTTTATATGCAATCATAAGGTTAGTTTTCTGGTGGTACAGTATGTGATTACTGTATAACACACAGGTGTCAAACTCAGTTCCAAAAGGGCCGCAGCTCTGCACAGTTTAGTTCCAACCCTAATTAAACACACCTGATCAAACTAATTGAGCCCTTCAGGCTTGTTTGAAACCTACAGGTAAGTGTGTTGGAGCAGGGTTGGAACTAAACTGTGCAGGGCTTCGGCCCTCCAGGAATTGAGTTTGACACCCCTGGTATAACATAACAATATAAAAATGTGGCAGTGACACATTGTGTAATAAATGTATTAGCTAGAAATGAATATGGGAAATTTCGGTAAATAAAGTAGGGATGCTATAAATGATTGATTAACCGTTAACTGAAAGGGTGCGTTTTTAACCGATTAATGGTATCAGTTAAACGCTTAAAAATATTATTTTATATATTTTTAGAGTTTGGCTGCATAAGAGGCCGAATGCACTTTTTTAATTAAGAGGGGCATCTTTTGAATGGTTTACCAATGGCCGCAAGTGTTTTGCGCGCGGCTCATCCCAGAGCAGCAGTGTTTGTGTTGAGACAACTACAGAGAACTTTTAAAGGGAGAGACTAGTGCTCGCTGTTTTAAGATCTCTAGAGATATGTATAACTTTACAAATCTTGAATATCACAATATTATTAAATATTACAATTGTAACATCATAGATAGCAACACTCTTGCACAATCAATATGCAGGTGATTCAGTCGTTTCCTAGTGACATAATAAAGAGCTCCACACTTCTTTTTTCCTTGTCAACCAAAAAGGCAGTGTGTGCGCCTCATGTTTTTGGAACAGAAAAAACGTGTTTTTGCGCAACTGCAACACACATTTGTTAACTCGCGGGATGATAACGGATGACCACACGTGCCTAATAGGGTTGGGCAATGTCGACTAATTTGGCAATTTACGATGTCTTATATGAAACATCGTGATGGACGAAAGCATCGTCGTCATGGGCGGCGGTGAATTAATTATTCATGAAGTATTAATTACTTCATAATGAATGAATTATTTGTAGCCTACCGTTTTAACTACCTGACCCGCATGGTCTTTGTTTTACTCATAACTAAATCATAAATAAATTAAGATAAGTTACACACAAATTACCACCTGTCAATAACTTTTTCCGCGGGACTCATGAATACGCAGAGTGATCTGTGTCATTATAATGGCGTCGACAAACTTGGTTGGTAAAAAAGGTGCACAACCAACAGGAACCAGCCAACTGTCTTTGAGGCAGACTTTGACTAAGACTTATTAGTGTAAACGGGGCCTGAGTGTGTACTTTTCGCAAGCTGATTTGCAACGGGGGTGGGGCAGAGGATCGCGATTCCGGCTCAGCATCGTGGTGTCTGTCCGCCATCGCCGATCGACGATGGCCTCGTCTGTCGGCCCAACCCTAGTGCCTACAGACATACTTGCCAAAGAAGCAAAATGGAGGAGGAATATTGCTGTTTGATACAGACGAGTTGATGCCAAACCAGCGCTGATGCTGATCGCCTCCTGGATCAGCATCATAAACACAACAAATAGGCTTTAGATTTCATTTTACAGCTTAAAAAGCATGTATGCAAATTAATGCAATATGATATTTAAAAAACATAACTGTTTACAAAAAGTCAACATTTGCGCACGTTGTCATTGTCTTTTCATCACCTGCAGCGTACACACTTGAACCGCAAGTGAGAGAGGAAACCATATATCAAGACGTAATCTTTAAAATAATGATTTCTATTAAAAATTAAAAAAGGGCATTAAATAAATGCATTTTTTCCGTGAAGCGAGCGATTTGAGGTAGTCTGCTATTTTTATTTGACGGAAGAAAAAAAAAACATGATTGAAAATTTAAAAAAAAAACTATGCCAGTTCTTAAAATTGATTCAGTCAGTGTTTTCGGTTTGTAATGTAAATTAATCATTTAATTGAAATTTTTTTAGATCAGGCCTATTTATTTTATTAAGTTTATTCTGTTTTTCTATGCTTTTGGAAACACTGCAGGTGTGAGAAGATGCTCGTATGTTCTGTTATTAATATGCTCGCATGTTGAAATAAATTAGTGTTTTTAAAATGTGATATTTAATGTGTCAGACACAAAATAGACTTGTCAATTTCTTATTAAATTTAATAATAATTTAACATTAATCTGACCAGTTAACCGTTAATACTCGATTAACAAGCGTCAGTTGTCGGTTTGCAAAATTCATTGAAATGAGCATCCCTAAAACTAAGTATGTCGGGGAGAAGTGGTGGCTATTTGAACCTGTTCTTGAACTATTCGGGTAAAAATGAGGCTTGGAATGTAACCACTTACCATGTTTGCTGAAATTACATGAACTTGCAAATTTGATATGTGCTCTGGACCACTGATTTGAAACAAATATTCGTAAAGGTTTTGAAGCTTCAATGCTTTGAATGTAGCATCACTAGTTCTTGTTTCCTCATCCTGCCTGCGAGGTATGTTTGTGTATTAGTTTTGGACTGTTTTTTGGATGTACGGTGCTGCCTTTGTGCCCTAGCCTGTTAGATTACACTTTGAGGATTACCCCTGTATACTGCTTTCTGCTCCTAGATTGACCCATTCCTGCTTTGACTTCTCTTTAATGAGCTGGATGTGAATCCGGTCTTCACATTCTGTTACACAACACTTATACCTCTGACAACCATTGCAGTCCTATAATATGGAAGCCAATGTTCACAGGTTTTCAGCGTTCTTCACGATGTGTTAATTTGTGTTCCACTGTATTGTATATTAATCAATTATTTTTTAATTTTTCCATTTGAAGATTTGGTAAAGTTAACTTTATTGGGTACACCAGTCCAACTGCTCAATAACACAAATTTCTTATCAGCCAATCCCATGGCAGCAACTCGATTCATTTAGGTATGCAGACGTGGTCAAGACGATCTGCTGCAGTTTAAACCGAGCATCAGAATGGGGAAGAAAAGTGATTTAAATGACTTTGAACGTGGCATGGTTGTTGGTGCTAGACGGGCTGGTCTGAGTATTTCAGAAACTGCTGATCTACCGGGATTTTTACACACAACCATCTCTAGGTTTACAGAGAATGTTCTGAAAAAGAGGAAATATCCAGTGAGCGGCAGTTCTGTGGGTGTAAATGCCTTGTTGATGCCAGAGGTCAGAGGATAATGGCCAGACTGGTCAATAGAAAAGCAACAGTAACTCAAATAAGCACTCGTTACGAACTGAGGTCTGCAGAAGAGCATCTCTGAACACACAACATGTCTAACCTTAAAGGTGCAGTAGGGGATCTTCCACAATGCTAACAGCTTAGCATAAATCTCTGAGTCACAGTCCCTTCCATGCCGTCTAGAGCCACACCTCCTTAAACACGAGCACAGCAAAAGAACCCTCTCTCATGTGTTAAAAGCGACTAGTACTTGTCCGGCAGCGTGCAAGCCAAATTGACATGCTTTTTCAGAGTAAATATTTAGTTGCATGGTAAACAATATAGGGAGAGACTAGGTGGAATAGCGGTATTTACTTGTGTTTTGTTGTTAAACTAATTCAAATCTACATTATCGATGCTGTAAAAGGTCCTTATGAAACTGAAAATAGTCTTATCAACCTTTCATCAGAAGATTTTAGTGGCTGAACAACACTTCTGTGAAGATTTAACCCATTTGTAACAACATCATCTAACGTTACATCAGCTCTGTGTGAAGCTAAAACAAGTTTTAAAACAGAGCATTACCTGTCTAAGAGAAATCCTTCAGACATTGTGTCATCCCTTCTCCAGCATGCAAAGGTAACTCCAATATTGATTCAGGTTTTTAAAAAGTTTTGATTTAGCAGGTTTTTACCGATCGCATGCGCGTGCTCTCTCTTGTGAACGCGCGGCGTTCGGCAGAGCTGCGTTCACACGGCTGCGCAGTTGTTCGAATCCGCATTTACTGACAGACAGAGTGAGCTACTTATCTGAATTATGAGAGATGTCGGCCCGATTCTGTTTAATTGGATGAACATTTTTTAGTTTCATGCCTTACCCAAAATATAAAAATACATATAAACACATTTAGATCATTTACTTTAATCAATACTATTAGACTGTGAAGAGACTTTCAATCAGCACAACAAACAATGCTTCTGTAGACAATCACCTACTGCACCTTTAAATTAACTTTGCTAAATTTAATTATTTATTTAATCACTCCCAGGAAAAAGCCATTAGGCTTACCTTCCCCTTTATTTAATTATCTTTAAATATTTGTTTTGTATGATTTATTGTTGTTAACATTATTAGTATTATTACTTAATTGTTTTTAAAATAAAATATGCAGTACAGCAATATTTATGCAGTCTTTTGCTTTTAGTACTATATGGTATCAAAAATGCAAAAATAAATATTTTACTTATGTATAATAATATATTTATAAAATTGCTCAATTAATTGATTTATTTAATGACTACTAGGAAAAATCCATTAGGGTCACCACCTCCTCTATAAATATATTTTAATATTTGCCTTTTTTATGATTTGTTGTTATTGGTACAGTATTATTATTACAACTATTATTTATTTGTAAAATAAAAACAAACAAACAAAAAAAATATGCACTACAACAAAATTTATGCAGTCTTTGTTTTTAATTTTATGAGATGGTAAACAAAAAAATAAAACAATCCTTTTATAATATGTTTAGTAATAAGTATTTTGGAGAAAATGTGTTCAATTATTATGAAAGAGTGTGTTCTTTTCCTTTTAATTAAATAAAAACTTGATCACTTCTAGTATTTTAACTTTCTAATATTTCTTTTAATTATAATAGCCAAAATCACAGCTTTTCTGTCAGCGACATCCAAAACCCAATCTCTACAATCAATTCTTTAGAAAAAACAAACACTCATCGCACTGCAGAAACTTCAGCAGAACTTGTGAAACTGGAAACACCGCATTCCAATTTCATTAATGGCCAGGTTTCAAAAAAACAAGCATGAGTTCACGCTGTACGATACATTAGTCAGTCTCACAAATTATGAACAAAATCTCCAGCAGGACTTACGGCTCGGCCTCTACGCTGTCCAGCGGCTTGACGAAATCTTTAGGAACGTAACCATGTTCCTCAATGAAGCTTTTCGATTTGTCAGTTTTCGCAGTTCGCCTCCTAACATACAGCCAGTACTCAGTTTCTCCCGTCACTTCCAGAATATCTCCTTTCCTGAGATTCAGGTCCCATATCGTGCGTGAAGGATAGCTGTAGATTGAAGTGTAGACTCTGTCGCGGTTGACTGACGCTTGCTGGTCTTTTGTTAGACAGCACGGACAGCATGGACAGCAGCATTTAGGTTTGCATTCACAATTCCCCATGTTCACCAGTCATATCTGCTTGCGTTGTGTTCACTCTTGCAGACTGATGGCGGAGTGGCATGACTTGTTCACTACACACTGCAGACAGACTGGTTCTCTAGTTACTGTCAGGAGGTTAAGGAAGTTTTTGGTGAAAAAAAAAGATCAGAATTTCCCTGATGTCATTGGGTTGAGTTTATTCAGCTAAAAACAAAAGGCAGTGCATTGTATTTAATTTGTGGATAACAATTGTTTTGTTGGGTGTAATTTGTAGGCAAGCAACCTGAAATGGCCACCGTTATAAAAGGAGGGGAATATCATGGACAGTGCATGGTTTATGCATAACCATTGTTTTGTACGACCCAGGCTCATTATGGAAACGTAACCACGCGGACGTTTCTGCAGACCGCAAAATACATCCCGGGAGGTACGTATTCGCGGAGTTTTTGTTTTGGGTTGCAACCCAGGCTCATTGTGTAATCGTAGCCACGCAGACGATTCTGCAGACCGCGAAATACATCCCGGGTGGTTTGTATTCGAGCAGTTTTTGTTTTCGCGGATCCGCGAGAGGCCATTGTGCGCGTTTATTCTCTTCTCAAATGCCTCTTGTTAGTTTGCGCCCGCGTTGTTCTCACGTGAAAAGCCGCCGGAGGCCGCTTTGGAGCGACCGTCCGTCCGACTGACTGGCTGATCGACTGAATGATTGACCGGGCGGCCGGCCAATCGGCTGACCCGGTCGCCCTCCTCCTCCTCCTTCCCTAAACCCAAGCGATGGTTTGCAAAAGCCGTCCAGAAAAAAAAAGCAAAAGCCCTTGTCTTTTTTTTTTGACCGCGTTGTCGGATCTCGCCGCGTTCTCACCCTTATTTTTTGGATTCTGTTTTTCATTTTACCTGATTTCTGGAACAGCTCTTCCCCTGACTCGATCCCGGTCATCCCCGTGGCCGGCTCCTCCTCCTCCGGGTCTCCACTCTGCCGACTTAACGCTGCGAGCTAAGTGGACAAACTGGTTGCAGCGGGAAAGCCCTCCACACGGAAGCGAGCCGTCAGCCGGCGAGCGCGAAGAGTAGGAGCAGAGCGGCGTCACACCGCCCTGTAGTGTTCGCTCGAAAAAAACTAAACGCGGCCATATGTACCTCCGGCCACGTAAATCACGGTTTCCAGAAACGTCCGTGGGGCTACGTTTCCAGAATGAGCTTGGGTTGGTTTTGTGCCCAATTCTATTTTTCACCCCTTCCCCTTAGCCCTTACAACCGAGAGTGAAGAGGAAGGGGTTCAACATTTACCTCTAAGAAATGGGACAGCAGTACAGGTCATCACGATCTCTTGCTTCATATGAGGTCAGACTGGCGAATGCTGTAGTTATTCCAGTTGTGCTATTTTTTAATATTTACCTTCAGAAAATCACTGAAGGCAACAATATCATGTATTATAACGATATAACATGGCAATAAGATTACAACTATGAGTTTACACCATGGCAATATTTATCTAGTTAAACAAAAGAAAACAACATTAACATTATAGCAGACATTGTAAAAAGCTCATTCCCAGCGACTAGACTTTTCTGACATGGTATTCGATTGTCATCGAGTGACAGATGTGAAAGAATGTTGTGGGACTACTATACAGGACTATAGATATATATATATATATATATACAAATTTATCCGTTTTTATCTTTTTTTTTTTTTAAAGCATGACTGTAAAACAAACACCGTTTTGAGTGTATAAAAACATGGGCCTGTTTGTACTAATTATGCTATGCTGTCGTTGTAGCTTCCGTATTTTGGGAAATTTTCATACCTCTTGGTGTCGAGTGTGCTTCTGGAAAATCGGAGGCTGCGCCCAAAACTGCCTACTACTCATAGGTACTGCATTTGAATTTAAACATACTACTCGGCTGTTAGAAAAGAACGTTCTTTACAGTATGAATTTGAAAACCAGGAATGGAATTCCGGCGTACTACATCCGCCATTTTGTCATAGTCACGTGACCTACCTGCGTCAGTTGCATCACTTCACTTCCATTCATGAATTCTCTCGCGGGGCATCATGGGATAACGCAGCGTGCGTGGGATGCGCACTGCAGAATCTTGCCGGAAGTAGTAAGTCATCCGGGTACTTCTCGCATACTGATTTTTGAATTCTATAAATTCGGACATACTTCTCGGCTCGCATACTGATTTTAGCGTACTGTAAAGGACTATCTAGCCCTTCCCCTTAGCCTTATGCTTTCAAGCTAGAGAATTGGCACACCCCTTCCCCTTCACTTGAAGGCGCAATATGAGGGGGAAAGGCTAAGGGGTAGAATTGGGATTGGGCCTTAAAATCAAGGATTTTTGCTTGTCATTTTTTAAATTTTGCTTTCCACTTTATCTGTAATTTCTGTATACAGTTTTTGTTAGTTTTTTAAACTCAAGAGTTGTTTATATAAACCTTATTTAATGTTTTAATCAATGCTATTTACTTGTTTACTTTTTAATTGGTGTGTGTGTGTGTGTGTGTGTGTGTGTGTGTGTGTGTGTGTACTGTAAATAGAGCATTTCAATGTGGTGATGTCATTAGCAATCAACATTTCCTGCTTGTTGTCAAACTACGTCATAAATGCAACAGGAGGCAATTCAATCATAACATTAAAACAGCTGTCAGAACATTATTTAATTAAGTGGACCTGCTTGTGTTCTTGGAAGCTGTGGAAATTAAAAAAATAAAACAGGAAATGCGCTAGGACCATTGTTATTGTTTACCATCCTTAAAAAGTCTATATGTGTTTAGTCTCAGAAATATGTAGGTCATAATTTTATTTCAAATTTATGTATTTGATGTAATATTAAATGTGTTGCAGAGCATAAATGTAAGGATATATAAGTACAATATTTATGGATCATTGTGTTGTATTTGTTTTTGAGGCAGGCATGCATCTAGAATTAGATGGAGAAGTCAATGATTCAATAGCTCTGTAACCTGGAGAGTGATGCTGACAACAGAGGCGCGGATCCACATGCAGGTTTAATAGCGAGGTCAGGTAAGCAGTGGTCAATACAGGGACAAACATGTCCATGAAATGGTGGATTGTAGTCCGTTAGCGCTTGTGGGTGTCTTCCAGCGATCTATGTTGTTTTAGATCGCTGGTGATCATGACAATGTCATACAAAATGAATTTACTTATAATTATATCTGGATAAAAATGTATTAATTCATTCTTAATAATGTATTACATTTGCAAATTATGTAGAAAAAAAGCCTGAGTCACACATTCTTCAATGCTGATTCGAATCTTTAAATTGGGACCAAATATTGTACATTTGTGTGACGTATGAATGAAGGTGTGTGATAGTTCTGCTTCGTTGTACTTGTGTGTTCAGTCTGTCGTGGTCTTGTATTTGGAGGAGTTGAAGCAGGCGCTCACTGCATCTCGAATCACTGGATGACCCTCTAAATGATCCTGAGCTTCAGCAAGAGTACAGCCACACTGGAGCATCAACAGAGCCGTCGGGACCACCTGACAGACAACAACATGTCAGGATAAATAACACCGCTTTCACTAAAGTACAAATGAAATCAAAACTAACCCTATTGATTTTGTTAGTTCTCTTAGCTAGTTTTGTGGTGAACAATTAATCCGTGCATGTCATTTAAAAAAATAATTTGCCCTTTGCACCACCTGTTTGTTTTCAGTTAAAATCTCAGATTACGTCAGTCAGAGGTATTGGGCGTGGCTAACATACTTAACCACGCCCCTCCAACTGTCAGTTTTGACAACAAACAGAAATGGTGAGCAGGAGTCTGCTAGCTTGTAATAACTCTCCCCAAATCTTATTCTCATCTTTCTGAATGAAATGCCTTCATTACTACTTCCAATCAGCTCGCAGTAGAAAAAACAAGCCGCGCCCACTGCTTTCTCATTAAATATTCAGATTCTAGGAACTGCGTCACAATATGAAAAAAAGCAGTCGCAGCTTCTGGTTCATGCGGACTTTAATGTCTATTACACGGCTGTCTGGAATACTTTAATCTTCATTCACAAAATTCCAAGGTATCTTTTTATCAGATAACAACCAGTGCATCTAATTGCACAATGGTAGGTGTTCTACAGTATGTCCACTGCATGTATCACTTACACATTTTACACCTGCCCAAAAAGGTGTGTATCCACAGGGACTTTTAACTCTGCATGAGCCATCTCATGGCATTATGCCATTACACCAGAGGTCGCGTTAAGCGAATATTTTTCGTCATTGACGGATTTTTTTCAGCAGTGACGGAAAAATCTGAAGGTGACCCGTCATTTTGACAGATTATGCTGAGGGGATCTATTGTAATTTGTAGCTAACTGTAATTCCCACTCTTGTCCAGCTGATGGCGATTGCCTTTGTTTTGTCTCCTCTTTGTCACTGTGTGCGTACAGTTGCAAAAATCTCACAGCAGCTGAGTGTGAGAAGTTTCTTTTAACGGCCAAATAGTTGTGATATTAATAATAATGGTGAAAAAAGAGGAAGTGATGCAGTGGATGGTGAAGAATATACAGACAAAACTCGAGAAGGGTATAAACCAGGGGTGGCCAGTCCTGTTCCTGGAGAGCTACCTTCCTGCAGATTTCAGTTGCTATATGTGTGATAATTACAGGCAGGAGTGTTGATTATGGGTTGCAACTGAAATCTGCAGGAAGGTAGCTCTCCAGGTACAGGATTGGCCACCCCTGGTATAAACGGAGGTCGGAGCCAGCTCCAAGTGGGTGGGCCTTGGAACTCCAAGTGGGCTGTGCAAACCTTATTTGGTTGTATTTAGAGTTAAATATTGTGCTTTATGAATGTGTACACCTAACCCTAAACCCAACTTCACAGTAACCTGTTGTGTTTTATGAACGTCTACACCTAAACCCAACCTCACAGAACTTGATAAACCCAACCTACTTGTGGTTTAAGTCCCTCCCACTTGGAGGTCACCCAACCTACTTGTGGTGTAATCCCTCCCACTTGCAGGTCTCCTGGCTGCAGCGATACCTACTTGCAAAAATCCTCAGTCGCCAACAGCTGTTACCGGCCAACCAAGGAGGTCAGGTGCTTTGGAGTGCGTTGTGAGCACTACCGAAGGAAGAGGTGTGCAGCCAGGGCCGGCGCGTCCATAGAGGCGACCTAGGCGGCCGCCTAGGGCGGCAGTATAGAGAGGGCGGCATCCGCGACACCTCCCTTACCACCTGCGTCCTCAGTTATGTCCGCGACACCTCCCTCACCACCAACCGTGTCCTCAGTTATATCCGCGCATAGGGCGGCAGAATTGAGGTCCGCGACACCCGCGCATCCTCAGTTATATCCGCGCATAGGGTGGCAGAATAGAGAGCGCAGTGTCCGCGACACCTCCCTCCCTCCCTCCCTCCCTCCCTCAGCACCCGCGCGTCCTCAGTTATATCCGCGCATAGTGCGCTGGAAAAGAGGTCCGCGACACCTCACTTTCACATTGGGGTTGAGGGCGGCATGATCATCCTCTGCCTAGAGCGGCAGTTTAGCTTGCTCCAGCCCTGGGTGCAGCCGTGCCCTGCATGGTGCTGAAGAAGCGTGTGCTGTAGTATTTTTTTCCCGGTGAAACAAGTGCTTGCAGGATCGGGAAATCCCACATTCAGTAATGATCACTTCCTTAGGAGAAATGTGTCCTAACTACAAAACGCTGGCTGAAGTGGGGCTAGTAATTCTGGTCTTTAGTCACGAGAAGTCAATTTTCCGAGGCAAAGACACAGAATTTAATGACAACTGCCTCTGCATCAGTCTCCCTTGATGCGTGTGATTACGCACAGGCAAGCTCACAGGTCAGGTCGATGCAGGAGGAAGATATGAGTTAAGGCAGATAGGAGTTTTTGTTCAATTATCAAATAAGTAAATGAATAATTTAGCCTATATGCTCGTCGTGCAAGTTCATTGTTAAGATATGAATGAAAAAAGCTATTAGAAAGTCTGCAAATTAAATAACGATCAATAATAGGTTATGACGGAATTTTTACAACCCTTTTCGTCAAAATGACAGACAATGTGAAAGTCTAACGCGACCTCTGCATTACACTGTAAAAAAAAAAAGTTAATGACAAAAAGAACAGATATATTTATGTTCATTTAAACTATTTTAATAGGTTAATAAGGTTTCAACAAAGTTTAACTTAATTAAGTCAGTTTGATTGACGTAAATTGAGATGACTAGAAAAGTTAATGTGCTTCAGGTAAAAACCTGAGACTGTAAGAATGTTTTTGACAGTGTATTCACTTGCTAAGTTTAAAGGGCCATGAAACCCCCTCGTTTCAGCAGGGTGTTTTCACACCTCTACTTTGGAAAAAGTCAGAAAAGTGGGCGTGTCCAGCTCTGTTTAGGGGGAGTGTCGGAGGAAGAAAAGTGGGATGGTGTGGGAGTGTCTATTTGGGCACGCGCCAGTTTCAGAGTCAAAATACACACGCACACACACACACACACACACACACACACACACACACACACACACACACAGGAGAAAGTGATGGTGTTTAACCTACATGGACATCTGTAGTCAAATTATTTGCTAAATTATTAAATGGTGGACTTTAACTGCAGTTTGGCTCTTTCATTCAGGGAATTTATTCATGCCCCTCGCGACACACGAGATATTAGATTCGAGGATCTGCTCTAAGCGTGTATTTTTCATGCAATGTTTGATACCGCACGGCGAATGAGAGAAAAAAAACCTCCGCATTTCCCAGAAACTTAGATGCACACGGCAGGTAGTATCAGAAAGCCGCGCGTGTTATTCCGGTCACTAAATGCGGTAAAAACCCTACACGAGGTTAAAGTTAAAGCACAATAGAGCGCGCTGATTGGTTTGAACCAAGCCTTACTCATGCATTAATGCATCACACTGTAAGACGTAATAAGACTCACTCTGGCACAGACGCCCAGTCTGCACGCTGGAATACAACGATATTATGTCATGACCGTGACGCAGCTTAAATAATTCGTTTCAAACCGGAAGTACGAATTTGCTTGAAATAACGCAAAAACAACCAATTTACACTTTTTAGTGAAATATAGGTGTCCTAATAGTGTTAGGAGGAAATGAGCTAAGAGGCAAAACTCTCGATTTACCGGTCAATCTACTTTCCTACTCTCATCTATGGTCATGGCCGAAAGGACAAGATCTCGGATACAAGCGGCCGAAATGAGTTTCCTTTGCAGGGTGGCACCCTTATAGACAGGATCAGGAGTTATGTCACCCGGGAGGAGCTCGGAGTAAAGGTGCTGCTCCTCCACATCGAGTGAAGTCAGCTGAGGTGGCTCGGGCATCTGTTTTGGATGCCTCCAGAACGCCTACCTAAGGAGGTGTTCCAGGCATGTCCCACCGGGAGGAGGCCTCAGGTAGACCCAGGACACACTCTGGAGGGACTATGTCTCTTGGCTGGCCTGGAACACCTCGGGATCCCACTGAAGGAGCTGGAGGAAGTGTCTGGGGAGAGGGAGTTCTCTCCTAAGACTGCTGCCCCCGCGACCCAGCCCCGGAAAAGCAGATGAACATGACATGACACTTACCTTGAAAAATGGACTAAATCCAATCAATTATTTTTTTCAGTGTACCATCATTCATATTTAGTGCTTACACTAAGGAACATTTAGTTACTTTTTTAAATAAGTACATGATTTTAATACTTTTGAAATGAACTTTTCCCAACACTGAACATTAGTAATGCAAGCTGAAAGTGTAATCGGACCCTTTTACAACAGGTGTTGTGTAACCTGACGGCAATTAAATCTTTATTACTTCCGTCACCAAGCACAGACGTGTAAAGTATGAAAACAAGTTCTTACTTGATCCCGTCTGTTGGCTGCATCTGTGTGTTTGTGGATGTCAGCTTGTCTCGTTTCTTCAGTCAGATCATCTGTATTGTAGATGACTCTCAGTAGAGCCCTTTCACAGTCTGTTCTGGAGGAGCCGCTAAACCGCTGACAGTGAGAGTATATTATTAAAACCACCATCAGGAATGAAGTACACACAGGGGTTTACGTTAAAAACCGAGAGTTTAAATTAGTCAGACATCATGGACATCATTAAAAAATGAAGCGAGTATGCAATTTTTTTTCAAAACACTTTCATAATTACAGTATATTTGGAGAAAAAGCAACCTTATTTACAGAAAAAAAAAGATTTTATATACATTTAAGTGAATCAATTAAATATTTTGGTCATATAAGACCCACTCATAATCATTTTTAACAATCATGATTACAGTATTGACCAGCAGAACGGTGGCTCAGTGGTTAGCACTGTTGCCTTACAGCAAGAAGGTTGCTGGTTCGAGCCTCGGCTGGGTCAGTTGGCATTTTTGTGTGGAGTTTGCATGTTCTTCCCGTGTTGGCGTGGGTTTCCTCCGGGTGCTCCGGTTTCCCCCACAAGTCCAAAGACATACAGTATGTGAATTGGGTAAGCTAAATTGGCCGTAGTGTATGTGTGTGAATTAGTGTGTATGGGATGCTTCCCAGTACTGGGTTGCAGCTGGAAGGGCATCCATTGCCTAAACCATAGGCTGAATAAGTTGGCAGTTCATTCCGTTGTGGCGACCCCAGATTAATAAAGGGACTACGCTGAATAGAAAATGAATGAATGAACAATAATGACCAGCAGGACCATCGCTCAATGGTTAGCACTGTTGCCTTACAGCAAGAAGGTTGCTGGTTCGAGTCCTGGCTGAGCTAGTTGGCATTTCTGTGTGGAGTTTGCATGTTCTCCCCATGTTGACGTGGGTTTTCTCTGGGTGCTTCGGTTTCCACCACAGTCCAAACACATGCACAATATAGGTGAATTGGATGAACTAAATTGTCCGTAGTGAATGAGTGTGTGTGTGTATGGATGTTTCCCAGTACTGGGTTGCGGCCGAAAGGACATCTGCTGTGTAAAACTTGTGCAGCAATAGTTGACGGTTCATTGTGCTGTGACGACCCCTGATGAATAAAGGGACTAAGCCGAAGGAAAATGAATGAATGTTAATTGTAAAGAAATCTTTGAACTGATGTGTTCGACAAGATTAACAAAATCTGGGTTTAGAAGATATAAACCTGAAATAAATACTCAAAGCTTGCAGTTTGTGACTTCTGCCTAAATGAATCAACATTTCTTTTTGTTCATACTTCAGTTTCTCATTAAATTCGACTAATCAAATGCTCTCTAGTATCTGACATGCCCCGCCCCCTTCAGGATGCTTTTCATTGGATGCACTTGAGCTCAACCACTCAGAGCTGTGATAAAACAAAACACTATTGTCTTCTTTTAAAGGTAAGGAGCTACTATAACTATTAATTCTGACCTGCAAGAAGAGATCAACCGAGTGTTCGGCTGTTTAATGGCCTGAATCTCGATGCGTTGCATTCACTGCGTGTTCAGCGCAAATGGCCACTGTATACATCATCGCCAAAGAAGCATGTGTATGACAAAGAACGTTATTGGGCAGATGGTTATTGTGAGAATCCTGCTCTGCCCTAATCATATTGGGTCAGCTCAGCTGACTCGCCTGCTTTTTTTTTCCCCACAAACACAAAAAAATGTAAATATGCACATAACGAGACTGAGCTTTAAAATGACACAAACTGAAAACAAAACTGGTAGGAGTGAGACTTTTCTTTTTTGAGATGCCTATTATTTTTCTAAATAGTTACTGATGACTGCTTTTCAGCTTTCATCCTTGAACTGAATGATTTATTATAGTCTTTTGTTTGTTTTGTAGCAGAAATATTATTTATTAAATTGACATGCATATAAAAACAATAGTGCAAAATGGATATTTCTTACTGCAATGCTTCATTTTTGTTTGATGCAAACCATAGATCTATTTTTCATAAAGACTTTTTTTAGTCGATAAATGAGAAATGAAATTCATTGTTAGTATTATTGTCGTCATCATCATCATTAATATTTCAAGAGTTCACCCTAAGCTGATGATTGATTATGAAGCGTGTTTGGCGTGCCCTGAGAGCCCTGAGCTTGTGAGATCCTTGAGCCCGGGGCTCCCCTCGGATTCCGAGTTCAGGTAGGTCTCGAGAACTCCCCCTGCTTGATAATGGCGCTTCATTCTCGAAATGTATAGTTTGTCTAAAGCAGGCATACAATCAGTCAGCGCAGTCGTCCCTCCATAGTAAAAAGCGACATTTTGTGTCTGCCGGTTTGTTTACTTGCCGGAGTTCATTGGCATTTTCCCGCACATGAATTCTGACCAATCGATAAGCAGTTTAGGAACTATGTTCAACAACATCTGGCCAATGAGGGATGTGGATTTTGTCAGATGACTGCATTTTGGTTCTTTTCAACTGGTTCGGACCAAAGCCAGCAGTGTGGTGTGAAAACGACCCAAAGACGGCAGAAAATGCAACAATGTATCATTTACTGCCCTTGATCCGGACCAAATGAATCGAACTACAGATGTGAAAGCACCCTTAAATATTGGACATTCATTTTGGCATTATTGCGCAAATATCAATGTCATTACAGAATTAGTGTACAACATATTAGTGTACAATATACAATTTGCAGTGCTCCTAAATTCTTTCTGGTGCTTCTAAATTTTGAAGTTGGTATTACCGGTGCTACCAAGTAAAAAGTTAACTTCGAGCCCTGTAATACCAGGCTGTTAGAAAAGAAAGTCTAAAAAGTCATTCTTAATGGTCTTAAAAGGGTCCTAAATGTCTTAAATTTGACTTGATGTAATCTACAGAAAACCTGTACTATATTCCCCACCCTCTATTCATGTTTTAGTTGAGATTACGTCAAACATCAAATAAAAGAAATTGCACATATCAAAGCACTTCACAGGACCTTAAATGCATTCATCACTGATATACCTGTAATATACTGATGGCTCTCCTGTACAGCTTGCTGTTAGTCACTCTGAGGTCTATCATATAATTCATGTAGACTTTTCCCTTCAGTACATGAGCTCCTGTGCTGATTGCATTAAGACACCATTTGGTTGAAAGCTCCCAGCGCTGTGTCTGTTGAATAAAATATTAGGTGTATTATTCTTATGCAGCTATATATATTTCATCTAAATTGTTGCTTCAGGGACTAGTTTATATGATGAATGACTGACCATTACAACTGGGTTCTCCTCTGAAGAAAAAGACCACGTGATGTTCAGGACGGTTTCAAACACGCTGCACACACTTTCCTGAAACAATATACAGCATGTGGGCTAAAGACAGTTTACAAAAGGGATTTTGGAAATATAGAAAGCATTTTGTCTACAATAATTAAAAAAAAGCCTCTATTATGCATTTAAAGGGTCATGACACCCCCCACTTTCGGTTAAAGTCTACTTCAGAATTTTTTCAAAAGATGCATGATTAATGGGCGTGGAGCTCCGCGAGCATCGGGCAGGAGTGGGCGTGGCCAGCAGGGGAGAAGGGGAGTGAACAACTGTTGTTGACAGTTAGCTCACAAAATGAGACACAAACCCTGAGGAGACGCATGAGTTTATAGTTCACACAGTTAAAATGCAAAGAAATAAACAGTAATTTAATGCCCTGCTACATTTGTTATTCGTAATTTCATATACACATAACCACAATTTATCTCATTATAAAGATAAGTGTGTTCATGTAAACACTATAAATGAGGATTCTCCCTCGATCCCCGGGTCTAAATTATAGATCTGAATGCAGACTCAGTGCAGCAGGTCTCCTGACGAGCCTAATTTAACCATTAGCCCTGCTGGTAATATAGAGGATTTAGGCAAACACAGCAGCACAGTGATGTGTCTGAATGTGAACGAACTCCTGATAAAAGTCAACGTCCGCCATTCTTCAATTCTCGCACTGCTCTCCCGACAAAAATGCTTTCAGCACACACAGCTTTGCTGTATGATCGGCCCTGACAAGATCGCGGGGGAAAACATGCAACAAACCGCGTGGATCATGGAAACAAATACATACGAGCCTTCATGAACGGCTACTGCGTGCCGTAGGTCTGTGTCTCACAGCTTGCTTGAAACTGGCAGGTCTGTCTTGCCTTCGGAAAGCACGTGCTCTCATGAATAATTAAGCAGCCGGCTCTTCTCATAGGATAAGAAAACTCCGCTATGAGTAATAATGAGAAACCGTCGTGTCATCATTGCACTTGCAGTACTGCGCTACGTCGCCGATTTTGATCCCGCCCCAAAAATCCTTTTAAACCCGGAAGCTGAAATTAGCTGACAAAAGCTCAAAATTATCCAGTTTTCCCCACAATTAAAGCTGACAGGTGCTGACATTGTCTTAACTGATGCTCAACACACACACATCTGTTAATATATAAAAATAAAAGTTCTCCAGGGTGTCCTGAACCTTTAAAAAGGTCATATTTTGGTTTTAGGGGTCCTTTTACCTAATTATCCCAACGACTCTCATATGATTTGTTCAGTGATTCATTTGCATTGGGCTAATCTTTAATTGGTTCGTTGATCCAGTCTTGTGATTGGTCGACTGGGTTCAGCCAGTGGCGTAGCGCAAAATGCGGAGGCCCCCCTGCAGGGATCGCTGACGGGGCCCCCTGATGAAGGGGGGGGGAGGGGGGGATACATCATACGTCAATTTGCATATCACTGACGTCATCACGTTCTACAGTTTCTGTTTAACAGCATATGGTTTATAAAGGGGTATTTATAATTGCACTACAGTTTATATAAGCATGTTTATTTAACTAAATTTATTGCTGTTTGAATACAGTATGTCATTATAGATGTGTAGTGAATGTGCAGTAATCTCTCATATGTAATAAACTCAGACAAGTTCAGAAACTGTCACTAAAATATCTGTGATTGTGAACAAGAAAAGAATAAACGGTCCAATTAAATTGTTAAAATAAAGCAGAAGTAGATCGGTTTGACTGTACAAGGGAAATACCTTCACACTGCCTGTGCTAAATCATTTGTCGTCAGTACGCTGAGGGGTGATCTGCTCTCGGGCTGCAGGTGGGAGAGGCTGCTGTACGAGGACTGACTGGGCCGCCTGTCAGTGCTGTGAGGCGGGGGAGGGGCCGGCGGCATCACACGCAACTCGTTTAGAAGAGTAGGGACGGTACAGTATGGACAAATGACAGTCTAAAAAAAATCTCCAATAACACACAAAAAAGTCGCTAGATTTGTCGCTAGGGGGGTCTGAAAATTCGCTAAATCTAGTGACAAAGTCGCTAAGTTGGCAACATTGGCGGCAAGCAATCAGAATGAAGTAGTCCACCGCTTGAGAGGTGTTCAGAGAACACAGACGTGTGAACTTTGGTTCCGACCACAGTTGTTCCCAAGAGTTTATTGAAAATTGCGACGACGCGGGGCCCCCTAATCACGCGGGGCCCCCCCGCGGTGCGTGCCCTGCGGGCCCGTCCGCTACGCCACTGGGTTCAGCGCGAGGCAGAGAGAAACGTCCACCATGGTTATGAAGTAGAACAGTGTATGTGAGAGTCCAATGCAGTTTAACACCAGCATATTACTCTACTCTTAACCCTAACCCCAGGTAATAACGACACGCATTCATTATTAATCCACACAGTAGTAAAAGTTTAACTATTTTGAAACTGACCACACCACATAATAACTCATCTCTAATAACTGATTTATTTTATCTGTCACGATGAAAGTGAATAATATTTGACTAGATATTTTACAAGACACTTCTATACAGCTTAAAGTGACATTTAAAGGCTTCACTAGGTTAATTAGGTTAACTAGGCAGGTTAGGGTAATTAGGTAAGTCATTGTATAATGATGGTTTGTTCTGTAGACTATTGAAAAAAGAAAAAAAGGGGCTAACAATTTTGTCCTTAATTTTTTTTAATGTAAAACTGCTTTTATTCTAGTCAAAAAAAAAAACAAGAAACAATCAGACTTTCTCCAGAAGAAGAAATATTATCAGACATACTGTGAACATTTCCTTGCTCTGTCTATCATCATTTGGGAAATATTTAAAAAAGAAAATATCTGACTTCAGCTGTATGTGGTGGTAACAATTAATTTGCTAGTAATTTTTATCTTGCTAATAAATACTGCATGCGTTTCTTGACTCAGAGACCCATTCAATCTACTTTAAAATGTAAAATACCTGCAAGAAATAATCCGCCTACAGAAGCAGCAGTATGCATTTCTAACTCATGCACTGGAAGGAAATGTTTAGAAATAAGTGAGAGTTCTTTGGCTATCGGCACTAATCCTAATCATTCATTTTACTCACAGGAACAGTGAATTTCTCACGGTCATGAGCAATTGCATGCAAATTAGATGTCCTGCGCCTCGCTTGATTGGCCAGCTCCATCACCTCACGCAGGTCATCTCAGGAGACACATTAGAATGTATTTAAATATTTTCATGCAATGTTACAGTCGAGCATGATGCATTTCAGTCATTATTTTGTTTACTCACCATTCACTGTAAACAGAAATAAGATCATGTCATTTGGACTGAGTCCAGGTAACACTGTCTCCACAAAATCCCTGTGACTTATCATAAATTCTGGACCCTAGGAATAGTTGATTTTGCATTAGTAGTTGGTGGTAAATGTTATTATGATAAATATTAATATCCAAGGCAATAGTTTACTGCAATTGTTTCAGCATTATGAATATAGCTGATGACTTAAGCAAAATAATCTGCCAATGGGGTAAGAAAAATAATCTAGTTTTTCCTTTTGACAAGATTACTTTGCTTACACTGTTTCAGATTATTTAGCCTGTTTAATGACAAACTTATTTATGGTGGCTTGAGAAAGCGACATACTGTAATACTACACCAACTTCTTTTGAGACAAATTTCTATATGCGTCTCCTCCTAGACTGTTCATACTACAACCACCAAACCTCCAAACTGGTCTGACTCGAGTTGCTATATCTTTTCCAATTGATCCGACTTACAGCTTTCTGAAAACTGACCCGGAAAACTCGGAAATATCCCATTGACTTAACATTGGACCAAACTTTGTGACCTCATAACTTTCCGCCGGACTGTCATACAGATTTAAGGTTAGGCTCATTTCACTCAGACTACCATTCTGCCAATCACTGATGATCTTTTAACTAACTAGCCACACCCCTAGCAACCATTTACGGCACCCTAGCAACTGTCCCATAGACTTCCATTGTAAAAAAAAAATTCCATTGACTTTACATTGGACATGCTAACAACATACCAATTTATGCTAACAATATACTAACAAACATACTAACAGGCTAATCATACTAGCAACATGCTAATTCATACTAAATTCATGCTAACAGCATGCTAGTTTATACTAGAAACATGTTAGCAACATGCTAACTCATACTAGAACCATGCTAACAACATGCTAATTTATGGTAGAAACATGCTAACAACTTGCCAATTTATGCTAGACACATGCTAGCAATATGCTAATCCATACTAGAACCATGCTAATTTATGTTAGCAACCGCCTAGCAACTGCTCAGAACACCTTAGCAGCCGCCTTGCAACACCTTAACAACCGCCTAGTAACAACCCAGAACACCCTAGCAACACATTAGCAATCAACTAACCACTCAGAACACCCTAACAACCACCTAGCAACACCTTAGCAATAACCTAGAACACCCTAGCAACAACTTAGCAACCACTCAGAACACCTTAGCAACGCCTAGCAACACCTTAGCAACACTCAGATCACCCTAGCAACTGCCTAACAACACCTTAGTAACTGCCTAGCAATACCTTAGCAAACACCTTAGCAACCAACTAACCACTCAGAACACCCTAACAACCACCTAGCAACACCTTAGCAACAACCTAGAACACCCTAGCAACCACTCAAAACACCCTAGCAACCACCTAGCAAGCCTTAGTAACCACCTAGAACACCCTAGCAACGCTTAGCAACACTCAAATCACCCTAGCAACTGCCTAACAACACCTTAGCAAGCACTTAGGTCACCCTAGCAACGCCTCAACAACCACTCAGAACAACCTAACAACTGAGTAGCAACACACTATCAACCACCACGCAACACCTTTGCAACCACTCAGAACAACCTAGCAACCACCAGGCAACCCCTTGGCGACCATTCAGAACAGCCTAGCAACACTCAGAACACCCTAGCAACTGCCTAACAACACCTTAGCAACTACCTAGGTTACCCTAGCAACGCCTTAACAACCACTCAGAACAACCTAGCAACCCCTTGGCAACCATTCAGAACACCCTAGCAACTGCCTAACAACACCTTAGCCACCACCTAGATCACCTTGACATTGCCCTAACAATCACTCAGAACAACCAAACTACTGAGTAGCAACACCCTAGCAACTGCCAAGCAACACCTTAGCAACCACTCAGAACAACCTAGCAACTGCCAGGCAACGCCTTGACAACCATTCAGAAAACCCTAGCAACTACCTAGCAACACATTAACAACCACCTAGATCATCCTAGCAATGCTTTAACAACCACTCAGAACAACCAAACAACAGAGTAGCAACACCCTAGCAACTATCAAGCAACACCTTAGCAACCACTCAGAACAACCTAGCAACCGCCTAGCAACCATTTAGCAACCACTCAGAACACCCTAGCAACACCTTAGCAACCACCTAGCAATGCCTTAGCAATCACCCAGAACCCCCTATCAACCTATCTAGCGAGAAACATGCCAATCCAGACTACTAACCTAAATGTAGTTGTCTATCTTTGCCGACTGTTTCACACTTTCTAAAAACGACTTCAATTATTTCAACTTTTAAACTACTTCAAACTTTCACACTAGGCTTTATCAAGACACTATAACTTTTCTAGTTTTACATGTAATTCCTTAAACAAGATTGTATTGTTTGTCTAGCAAATGCTTTGTGATTTAAAATGTTTCGATATTTGAACTAGAAACAAGACAAAAAACTCAAAGTAAGAAAAGAACTGGAGGAGTGTGTGCTCACCAGAGACGACAGATCTCCCTCTTTATTTCTCATTTGACTGAAACCATTGTTGATAAAACCTCTGATGTCACCAAAATCTAAGAACATGAACCATAATATAATAATCACATTTCTTATCAACTTATAAATATTGTTGCACTGTTATTAATTTACTTATTAACAAACTGTCTATACAGTTTTATATACAATGTTTATACACAGGGTCGGCCATTTATATGGATGCACCTTAATAAAATGGGAATGGTTGGTGATATTAACGTCCTGTTTGTGGCACATTAGTATGTAAGGAGGCAGACTTTTCAATATGGGTGGTGACCATGGTGGCCATTTTGAAGTCGGCCATCTTGGAAGCAACTTTAGTTTTTTCAATAGGAAGAAGGTCATGTGACACATCAAACTTATTGGAAATTTCACAAGAAAAACAATGGTGTGCTCGGTTTTAACGTAACTTTATTCTTTCATGAGTTATTTACAAGTTTCTGACCACTTATAAAATGTATTCAATGTGCTGCCCATTGTGTTGGATTGTCAATGCAACCCTCTTCTACCACTCTTCACACACTGATAGCAACACCGCAGGAGAAATGCCAGCACAGGCTTCCAGTATCCGTAGTTTCAGGTGCTGCACATCTTGTATCAACCAAGCACACCATTGTTTTTCTTGTGAAAGTCCCAATTAGTTTAATGTGTCAAATGACCCTCTTCCTAAAAAAAACAAAAGTTGCATTCAAGATGGCCGACTTCAAAATGGCCACCATGGTCACCACCCATTTTGAAAAGTTTGCCCCCTCACATATACTGATGTGCCACAAACAGGACGTTAATATCACCAACCATTCCCATTTTATTAAGGTGCATCCACATAAATGGCCCACCCTGTAGCATAACAAATGTGTAACTGTAAACAGCACCTGCTCCAAAAGTAGGCATGCATTCACTGGCGTCAGTCATTCCTATAATGCCAAGAGTTTGCCATCCCAGATAATACACATGCGCTTTCATCTGAAGACTGGTGAAACATGGACAGAAATAAGTCATACGCGAGTCATTGACTATTATGACCTTCATTGTTAAGATAATTGCTCTGCTTTTTACTGTGTGCACAAGTTCAGCCTTTTCATATGCATGGAAATCCTCAGAGGTTTATGTTATTTAACGTTCATTTTACCTCTCTCCTGCTTTCTGAATAAGTGCTGCAAGTTCATCGCTGTGCGAGTAAGTAGTTTCATAAACCATCTCACTCGCTGTGATCCAGGCCGATATACATCTGAATGAGACATTTAATTATAGTGTGTTACTCATGAGAGAACTGTGGGAAATGATTGCACATTTTTATAGTCCTATATACAGTGGTATAAAAAGTGTTTGCCCATCACAGATTTTATTTTTATTTTTGTCACTCGTTTTAGATCATCAAATAAATTTACATACCCTAAAAAAAGGAAAAGTTTTGTTTTGTCAGTCCACAAAGTCTTGCCAATTCTCTTTTTATGGTGGAGTCATGAACACTCACCTTACCTAAGGCAAGTAAGGCCTGCAGTTCTTTTGATGTTGTTGTGAGATCCTTTGGGGCCTCTTACATGAATTTTATGGTAATTTTGGTTGGCCGGCCACTCCTGGGAAGGTTCTCCACTTTTCCATGTTTTTCCCAATTGTAGATAATGGATCTCACTGTGGTTAGCTGCAGTACAAACACTTTAGAAATGGCTTCATAACTAGGGATGGCTGATGTTTCAATGCAGTTTCGAGATCCCGAAGTGCAAGTGTTTTGAAACACTGCACCGATGCATGATCCGAAGCACTTGGGTCACATGACTAAAGTGTTCCAAAACACCAGATCATGTGACTAAAGTGATTCAAGGCATTGTTCATTTTAGAGGCGCTTTCGATTGTGATCTTAATTTTAAATCTCATATTAATCAAGTTACAAAAACATGTTTTTATCATTTAAGAAATGTTGCCAAAATTCGTTCTTTCCTATCTTTTGATGATGCCAAGAAATTAATTCATGCTTTTATTTTCTCTCGGCTTGATTATTGCAATGCTATCTATACTGGTCTACCTAAGGGTTCTACAATGAAGTTGCAATTGATACAAAATGCAGCAGCCAGAGTTTTAATGAAATTAAAGAAACGAGAACACATTACACCAGTATTAATAGAATTACACTGGTTGCCTGTGCACCAAAGGATAGATTTTAAGATTATTTTATTAGTTTATAAAGCACTACACAATATGACACCTTCCTACATTTCTGACTGTTTAACAAAATATAATCCAAACCGTTTACTACGCTCTTCTAGTGCTGGACTTTTAGAATTTTATCCGGTAAACCTGATGCGATCTGGCGGCACTTCTTTTAGCCATTATGCTCCAAAAATTTGTAACCGTCTCCCCCTTGAAGTGAAAGAATCCCCAAGTATTCATGTTTTTAAAAAGCGTGTTAGGACACATCTTTTTAAAATTGCGTATGATTAAACAAGTTTGTTAGGTGTACGCATTTTATCTATTTTGTTGTAGGTTTGTGGTATGTAATGTATGGTGTGTGCCTGCATATGTAAGGACTATTGTGTGTGTGATCATGTGGATATATACTTACATTTTGTGTACATGAATGCTTTTATTTCAGTATATGTGATAAGTTTTTGTGGTCTATTTTAATGCTTTTGTTGTTGTTTGTGAGGCACTTTGAGTTGCATGTATGTTGGAAAAGTGCTATACAAATAAAGTTTATTATTATTATTATTATTATTGAGACTTGGCAAATCTGCGGTTGACTGACAAGGATGGAAAAAACTTTCTCTCAAGTAGCCTAGTGGACTGTGCGTGTGCACAGAGAAACTATGCTGCAATTGTCCTGAGTTCCAATCCCGACTTGTACAAATGCACAGAAATAATGACTTGATGTATTTTAATAATGTTATTTTTTGTGACAAAAAAAAAGACATATTTGTTCATAAGGTGTTCATCCGGATGTCAGACTAATGTCATGTGACACATCAAACTTATTGGGAATTTTACTAGAAAAACAATGGTGTGCTTGGTTTAAACATAATTTTTATTCTTTCATGAGTTATTTATAAGTTTCTGACCACTTATAAAATGTGTTCAATGTGCTGCCCATTGTGTTGGATTGTCAATCCAACCCTCTTCTACCACTCTTCACACACTGATAGCAACACCGCAGGAGAAATGCCAGCACAGGCCATTTGTTTTTGAATTTATTTGGATGGCGGCATTTTGTCTCATTTTTGGTCTACCTTACTTTGTCAGGCAGGTCCTATTTAAAAGATTTCTTGATGTGTGGCAGTAACCAGGTCAGGGTTTGGCTTGAGAAATTTACCTCAAGTGTGATAAAACAGTTACGTAATGCACTTTTCCACACAGGGCTATGTAGTTTTGGATTTTGGTTTCACTTAATAATTAAACCCTTCATTTAAAACTGTATGATTTCTTTACTTGTGTTATCCTTGGCTAATATGTAAGTTAGTTTGATGATTTGAAACATTAGGGTGTCACAAACATGCAAAAAAATAAGAATCAGTAAGGGGGCAAACACCTTTTCACACCACTGTGTGTATATAATATATATATGTGGCCATTTTATTAAGTACACCTAGCTAGAACGAGGTGTAGCTGTCTGCCAGTTCCCTCCACAGTCCTAAGGCATGCAGTTTCGGTGAACTGTATTAACTAAATTGGCCAAAATGTGTCATTGAGTAAGTGTGTATGTTTCCCACCACTGAGGGTTTTATTCTGGGTTGTTGGGTTGCGCTGGAAGGGCATCCCCTGCATCAAACATATGTCAGAGTAATTGGCAGTTCATTTTGCTGTAGGAATAAACCAAAGTAAAATGAACGAGTGAGCCTGTCATCTGCACATCCATGACTTCCAAAGGTGCTCTGTTTGATAGAGATTTGATTGAGACTTTTGCGAATAATGTTCATTCTGCTGTGGTGACCCCTCATTAATAAAGGGACTAAGCCATATAGAAAATGACTGAATGAATGAACTATCCCTTTATCAAGCAGTTAAACAGATGGACCTAATAAAGTGGCCAGTACTTAACTAATAATAATAATAATAAAACTCCAATCCTTTAAAAAGCATACTCAGGTGTAATTATCTTCTCTTTAAATGCAGCGTCATGTCCAGCCATAAGAAGAGTTTCCAGAATGATTTTGGTTGCACTGCCTCCTTTCATTCTGTACGATCCACTGATGGCCTCAGCCTATAAGGAGAGACCAGAGATACAACAATCACATCAGTACATCTGACACAGGCACGTGCACACATAGGGCTCAACCTGTGCAGTGCACATGCCCTTTTTAGTCTTGGATAGAAAGTGCCCTTCCAAAATGATCTGAAGTGTCCCCGAGACAATCCCAACCCCCTACCCTCCCACCCCACTCTACAGTTCATGCGCAACAACGAATAACAGACAAATCCAAATGCCCAACACAAGCGAGCTGCGCTCCAGACCAGGGGCCTCATTTATCAACGCTGCGTACGCACAAAAACTTTGCGTACGCCAGGTTTCACGCTCAGAATCGCTCACGTTTGGATTTACTAACAATGAACTGAACGTGGGAATGTGCGCAGCTTCACGGCAGCTTTATGGCTGGCGTATGCACATTTTTTGTGCGTGTCTGTTTTATTTCCATTGGCGACTCCTAGAGGCAGTTGTGTTAAATTGCTCTCTACAAAGTGTCTGAGCCTTGCAATGGCAGCTGTATGAGACGGGTTCAGCAGGTATATAAGGTTTCCATACCATACATTTGACCAGCTAAACATTAAAGCACAATTTGCAGCAGTCGCCTGTTTTCCCAATGTAATCTGAGCGATCTACCGCACGCACATTGCTATAAAGACACTATCTGAAGATGAATTTGCATGCGTGAATCAGAAACATTTCCATTCAATAAATGTGCAAATAAAATATGATGCTTATTGATATGAACTTATTGATGATTCCTACTTGTCTTTCTCGTGATAAATAGTTGGCAAAATCTGATATGTAGCGGTGGAAAAAACAAGAAAGAGTTCATCAGACGCTGGATTCGAGCCGAGTTCATGCTCGAACGTATCAATTCATGATCACCTGCGTCTAACGAGACTGTTAAGCGTCCTGCAACATTTTACAGATATAAACCACACTATTTCTATTTTTTAATGCACTCAGTGTGATGTTCAGACCCAACTGTGTTGACCGCATCAGCTAAACTCTCCCACTCTATTTTTTTCTTTTGTTGTTAATTCCGGAGAACAAACTTGCAAATAACACCACTTTTCTCCGGTCTACCTCCGAAAGCAGCACCTCCATTTCACATTCTGTTCAAAGTTTCTCTTTTTGCTTGCTTTTGCCATTGCTTTTTCTTTGGGTTTTTCCATTAGCATAGTCATTAGCATATTCATAAGGGGGCGGAGGCAGGGAGAGGTTTTGTGCTCGTACATGTTGCGCTCAGTTTCACGTTCATTCAGATGTACAGAAGAATATGCGTGAGATTCGGCGTACGCAGTGTTTCATACATCTGAATTTTTTTCTGCGTACGCACATTTACAGCTTTGTGCGTACGCAAAGTTTTAGTAAGATTTCCACGCAAGTCTTCGTACATGAGACCCCTGATCAGCTCGATGACGTATAATGTCTCCGACACCGCCTGCAGTCCCATTTAGCAACTTGATAGCAACCGTCTTTTTAAAGAAGCCTGGCCGAATTAAAAATTCAAAAGTGTGCTGTAACTGATGTGTTTTATGTCGTAGAACAAAACGTGAAAATATCTTGAATTTGTGTTAGCCACGGACCTTATGTAAGCGATTTTACTGAAACCCCATTTAAAAAACCCATTGACTTTGGGACGAGGGAACCGGAAGTGCTAAAATGCTAACTCGCTTCCGGGATTTGCATACAAATTGACGTCATAGTTCCTCCACTCTATAGTGTTAACTAATAAGATTGCTTTAGGAATCACACACTAAGGCCCCGTTTACACTAATGCGTTTTCATTTTAAAACGAATAAGTTTTGTTATGGTTACGGCATCCGTCCACACTACGCCGGAGTTTGTGAGCGCCGAAAACGGAGCGTTTCGAAAACGCTGGAGAGGCCGTTTTCATTCTAAAACGCTGCTGCTCCGTGTCAGTGTGGATGGAGGAAAATGGAGACATCTAAAAACGGAGGCGGAGCTGCCAACATTCGCCTATCTAATTGGGGCTTTTTCTCAATATTAAGTAGCCCACATACACAGTTCAGTCTCTCCCTGTAAGTTCAGACTTTGCAAGTTTGATATGGAAAACAGACCCTCGAGGAAAATCTTCAAAAGGGAACAGTGTACTTTATAACCTTATTCACATCATCCTGGCTACGTTGTTTCACTTTCTCAACAATAAAATGAAAACATCATTTAAAGAACTGCCTATTTTCATTTGGATATTAACAACTTAACAGACAGCAGAAATGCTGAGGCGTCGTGCTTCATCTTCACTGTGTGCATGTTTATACTAAAACAGAGACTAACATCACTGCCTCCTTTCGTTTTATTGAAAATGCGAAACGTATCCTCTGCTTTGCTGAATGTCAGTTTTAATAAACAATAATACCCATTATGAAAGTATAACGCACAATAAGTTTATACATTATAGGAAATAAAGGCAAGCGATCAGTCAATATACAGAATGTATGTGGTTACATTAATCATTAACTTATCTTTGCGCTCAGCCAAAACACGTAACCTGAGAACAAGTAATCGATTCAAAAGACCAAAGTCGGGGAATATGTTGTTAGATAAAGACAACAAGATTAATTAAATATCACATTTAGCAAATATAGTAAGATTAGATCCAGCGCGAGATGTTTGATGAGCAGTCCGACCACCACAGCTCTCATGTGGGAAGAAATGCTGCAGCGCTTGCCCGAGAGTGTGTGTGTGTGGTCACGTGATGTGCGTTTTCAGCGTTTTGGTGTGGACGGAGAGCAGTTCAGAAACGCTGAGTAAAACGCAAGTGTGAACACGGATCGTTTTCATTCTAAAACGCTGTGTAGTAGACATGAAATGGTTAACGTGTCACGTGATTGTGTTGGAGGGTCACCGGGGTTACGTAGTGCGCTTATAGGTGGCACCTGTTCATTCACAACTTAGGAAGGAGAGAGAGAGAGGGGGTGAACGGGGACGCGGTACTCTTTGTTAACCAAACAAACACAAACAGGCTCAAACGAAATCAAGCTTAAGCCCAAATCAAAGTCTACACTGTCAAAAGATCAAGGTATGTTTTATATTGGAAAATAAACGAG